TCCCTCTAGCTATCGTGGGAAAAGCTCGAACCCTCTCTAATGTGAGACTGCTTGCATGACGCGTCGAGGTCTGGCCGCTGACCCCCCAAATTAGATCCCACCGCTCTTCTTCTGCAGGCAGATCTGAAGAGACGCACACCATGACCGTCACATACGACTCTCCCTCAAGGAGAGCTCAAGCATCAATGGCGACGCTCGAAGAACGATTCCAGGTGATGAAAGAGGTTGGTGATGGAAGCTTCGGTAGCGTTGCTGTTGCACGTGTACGGACCGCCGGATCTCACATCGCGCGGCGAGGAACGATGGTATGTAGCTACGTCACCGGTTGACCTGAGCTTTCAACTAACTTGACCCAAGGTCGCAATTAAAACGATGAAGAAGACCTTCGACTCATTGCAACCATGCTTGGAGCTTCGTGAGGTGATCTTCCTGCGGACCCTCCCCATTCACCCGCATCTCGTTCCCGCTCTCGACATCTTCCTCGACCCTCTATCCCGCAAACTGCACATCTGCATGGAGTATATGGACGGCAACTTGTATCAGTTGATGAAGGCCCGTGACCACAAGTACTTCGAAGGCAAGCATGTCAAGAGCATCCTCTTCCAGATCCTCTCTGGATTGGATCACATCCACGCCCACCACTTCTTCCACCGCGATATCAAACCCGAGAACATCCTGGTGTCGACCTCCGCCCCCAATGACTCCACCTTCAGCCGCTACTCTAACCTCGTCACTCCTCCTTCTACTCCCCCGACTTATACCGTGAAGATCGCCGACTTTGGTCTCGCTCGCGAGACCCACTCCAAACAACCATACACCACCTACGTCTCAACGCGCTGGTACCGCGCCCCCGAAGTGCTTCTTCGTGCCGGAGAATACTCAGCGCCCGTGGATATGTGGGCCATCGGTGCTATGGCAGTGGAGATCGCTACTCTGAAGCCCTTGTTCCCCGGAGGCAACGAGGTCGACCAGGTTTGGCGCGTCTGCGAGATTATGGGCAGCCCCGGCAACTGGTACAGCAAGTCTGGTGCCAAGATTGGCGGTGGTGAATGGCGCGAAGGTTCGCGATTGGCGCACAAGCTGGGCTTCACTTTCCCCAAGATGGCACCGCACTCTATGGACTCCGTTCTTCCTCCGACACATTGGCCTGCTGCTCTGAGCGAGCTCGTCACTTGGTGTCTGATGTGGGACCCCAAGGTCCGCCCAACTTCCACCCAGGCCTTGAACCATGAGTACTTCACGGATGCGGTTGACCCGCTACGACCCAAGTCTTCCACCTCGTCGCGGTTGCTGGGCCGTAAACAATCCGAAAAGAGCTTCAAGTCCACCACTCTTTCTCCTAACGACTCTCCCACTCTGTCTACGAAGCCCTCTTGGTTCCGCCGATCGTTGATTGGTCGCTCTGAAAGCCCTGTTCCCGGTGTTGAAAATGACAGCCCTGCAAGACCTCCTGCCGTCTCGTACAGCACCGTGCCTGAGATCCAGCCGGTCAAGGCTCGTCCCGCAAACACCAAGCGGGCCACTTGGGCCAACGGTGCCCCGATGCCCATTCTCCCTTCTATTCGCCCTGTCTCTCCTCTCTCCAACTCGGTCACGGCACAGGCCAATGCGACCGTGGCGCACAGCGAAGCGTCCAGGTCGTCCCAATCTGATGCAACCCAGGCGAGCAAGAAGATTGGTCGGCAGCTGTCTGTCAACTCCAATGGCAACCACTATTCGGATGCCCACCGCCAGGAGGCTGAGAGGATGTTGAACGGTTCTGGTAACACGACACCAACCACCAAGGAGAGCTTCTTCTCGCATTTGCGTAAGCGCGCTCGCAGGCTTTCTGGCCGCAACCAAGCTGCGGCACCGAGTGACGATGTCGAAGCTAATGCTGGCTGCATCCCATGGTCTAACCGCTCTTCGATCGCCCTGGACGGTACTAACGTGCATGAGTCTAAGACTCATTCCGATCTGAGCGAACTTGACAGAGCTCTTCAGAGTGTGAAGTATACTTTGGATTCCTCCACGCACAATGTTCCTGTGCACTTGAACGCCGGTCCCGAAGGCAGTATCATCAAGCGACAATCGATGCCTACCAGCAACCCGGCTCCCATCTCCAGCCGGACGCGACGCGCGATGCAAATGACCTCTCACCCAGTTCACCGCTACGAAACACCGGAGGAGGAGGATGAGCTACTCGACGAGGTGCTGCACTCGACACACAAGGCTGCCCGACGCTTGGCGCTGACCCAATCGCTGGCTGGCAACCCTACCAGCATGCCTCACCGGCCAACGGACAACTCACGCGCATTGCCGAGCCCTTACCCTACCCCTTCGCCCACGGCCAAGGCTGATGGGTACTTCGAGACACCCGTCAAGCAGGTCACAGCCAAGACGGACGCGAACTCCAACCGCCAATGGCCGACCCCTCCTTACGAGGAATCGGAGTGGAATCACAAAGCATCCACTCACTTCTCTGGATCCAACTACATCTAAACAAAAGCCACACTCTCTCTACGATCATTTCGAAACTCACCACCCATCACACTCTCTCCTGGCCGTGAGGCTATAAAATCTGGCGAAATTGCGCAAGAATTGGATACAAACCGAGATAGGCGTACTGGTTTTCTTTTCTCAAGGTCTGGTCGTTCAGGTTTTGATTTTTCCGGGCATTTGTTGTCCTGCCCTTTGCATCTTTTTCATCTTTTTCACATTTCACATTTTCACCATTCATACCCCTATAGGCCCTTGATAGATGGATCCGGCCTCGCACCCTTGTTTACTTTTCTCTCGGAAAATTCCTGGAGTCCTTTCACTTGTCTGATCATTTTTGAAGGGGCGTTGCACAGTCTCTTGTTACTTTGATACCACCACGCGCAAGCCGCATTTATATACCAATCCCTTTTCCACTGGCATCTACCCATTTTCCATGAACATGGCGCTCATTTCTTTTGTCTATATACTTGTTCCCCCATTGTACATTGCCTGGCTACTTGTCGTCCTATCTTGCCGTCCTGTCTTTCCTCTCCTATTGGCTCCTGCATATTGTCCCAAACTTCATGTTCGCTCTTTCGTGTATAATCTTCACCCTTGCAGGTCTCTGGGCTGGCTGGGCCCAGTCTCCAAATGTAATATAACACAGCATACGGCCATGCGCTAATTATATATATACTGTTATGCATAATTCTAAGGTTCTCATTTGATATATCTTATTTTTTTATCAGTAGATCTTTACTTAGTAAGACAGCTATAAGGTTGAGACTTGACGTTTCCGAACCATCATTACATAGCTGCGCTGTAGCGACTAGTTCGGAACATTGATAATCCGGCGGCCATCAAGATTTCCCAATCGAGCATGCTTCTCTTCCTCACTTTTTTCCCGCAATTGAATTCCCCTCAAACTTCGTCTCCAGCAGTTGACTAGTGTCATTTCTGCATTCGAGACCCTGCCTCAGGTCGGACTGGAACAAGTATTTCCAAAATTCTAAATAGCAGGTCCCCTCACAATACCGAACCTGTCCCATTCCAACTTGCAAGTGACTATCGCAAGTCGCTTTGCAATCTCCAAGCTTGAGAACACCTCCGCAGAAGCACAATGTCAAACCAAAGGCAGGCCTCATCAGCCTCCCAAACACCTCACCTCTCCCCCGCCGAGCTCTCCTACCTCTACACCTCCCTCTCCCTCCCAGGAAGCCCCATCCGGCCCGATGGCCGCTCACCAACTCAATTTCGGCCCTTAACCGCCGAAACGAACATCCTGCCCGGTACAAACGGTAGCGCGCGCATCGGCTTTGCGGACGGCACGCAGGCTATCGTTGGCGTCAAGGCGGAGGTCGAGAGGACGACTCTGTCGGCGGATACACTCGATGCGCGGGAATTCGATCCCAACCATGATCGCGAGAGCCAAGAGGGTTCAGCTGCTGTTTCGGGACATGGGTCATGGGTTCAGATGTCTATTGAGATTCCCGGGTTCCGGGATGATGATGCTCTGCCTGTTTTCTTATCTGAGATGATGCGCGAGTCGCTGGTTGGTTCTGTTGGCGCCGATGAGAGCGGTATGGCTGGTGGACTTAAGGGGAGATTGGTCATTAACAAACGGTGGCATTGGCGGCTGTACATTGATGTGAGTGGAGAATCGTTATCTCTTGCGGAATTTTGGGATTTCTTGGGATGCTGAACTAATTGTCTTCTAGGTCCTGCTTCTTTCTCAACCTCTTTCATACCCTCTCCCGCTCCTTTCCCTCACGACCCATCTTGCTCTTTTGTCCACCAAACTCCCTAAGCTCAAGTCGCAGGGCGAGGAGGATCCTTTCTTCGACGATGACTGGGCTGTTGCGGAGTATCTCTACCCGCGCTCTTCTAGCACGTTGAAAAAGTCACCTTCACAACATGTCCGCCCGCCGGTGACACTGCTCGTCATCTCAGTAGGTGACAATGTCATCTTTGACCCGAATCGAGAGGAAATCGCCGTTGCGGACGCCGTTCTTGCTATTTCTGTTACTCGCGGCGAGGGCGGGGGCTTGAAATTGCTTTCGATCCGTACTATCGACCCTCCATCTCGACTCACGCAACCAGGTATTCCTAACTCGGAGAACGTAAACATGCTTGGTGCTACGCCTGCCGAGGAGAATGCGCTCACCCAGGCTACCGGCGAAGAAGAAGTTTCGGGCGTGTGGCGCCCCCGCCGCGGCGGCGTCAAGCGCAGCGTTGTTGCGAATATGGTCCGAACAGTGTTGAAAAAGGGTGGCGTTGGCGAGGAAGTGCTTGAGGGATTGGAGGGCGTCGAAGTGGTATGATCTATGTCAACATCGAGCTGCACCAAGCTCAAAAATCAAGCTTTTATATACCCGCAAAATATCAGAGAAGGGATTCATGATCATGTAATACCAGAGTGTAAATGTAACTCCAAACGAAAGATATACTATACAATGCATTGTCCATATCCACACGTAACTCACTCCGAGCTCTCCGGCCGTCCATCCTATACTACAGCCAGGGGCTACAGTACAAGCCCCTCACCAGATACCAAGCCACTTCTTGACAGGCTTCTTTTTCCCTTCCCAATCCACGAACTCCCCCTCCGCGATAGCAACAGGACTCTGATCATCCACTTCCACCTCCTTCCCCTCCTGCGCCTTTTTATCCGACTCATTCGGCTCCTCAAGCCCATGCGCAACACGATACTGTCTCCTCTTCTCCGCATCCTCAACCCTCCGATGTCTCTGCTCCCTCACACGCAGCGAATTATGCTGCACGTCCATCCTCCACACCTGCAAGAACTGCGAGACCGTATCAATAGGATGCGACAAGAGTCCTGACCACGCCGGAAGCAGGTGCGCAAAGGGCGATCTCGCTTTAAAGTTCGTCGAGAACACAAAGACCGCGAGAGAGGTTAAGATGGACATTGCGATCCACACGTGGATCCAGCGACTCGTGAGGAACTTGAACATGACCGTTCCTTCCGGCGGGAACATGTTGGGGTATTGCTTTGTTTTTTGGGCTTCGCGTTGTGCTTCCGTTAGGCGGGGGCCATAGTTTATGGGTTGGCCTGTTGGCGAGGCGCGTGCTGCGACGAGGCGAGCTGGGTGAGATGGGGGGCGAAATTTATCTGGTTGGGCTAGGGTGCGGCCTTTGTCGGCTTTTTTGGCTGATGCTGGGCTGGTCGAGGTGAAGCAGCGGGCGCTGTTGATGGCACGTTGCTGGTGCTGCAGGGTACGCAGGGTGCGGGCTGTGGGTAGGCCTCTAGGGAGGAGGAATGGAGGAATTGTCGGGGCGGGCATTGTGGGCGAGATGTCACCGATGCGTTGTGCTGGTAGCTGATATGGAGCTCTAGAGGTTCGGTATGCGCAGTGTTTTCCCCGACCGGGGTTTTCTCGGATGGCACGTGACCCAGGTTGGAAGTTTCTCGGGCCGCGCTACAAGAACGCCTGCAGTCTCGGCTTGAGCATTCCCCGGCTAAAAGTCTTTTTTTTGGCGAAAACCGGCCGTGGAGCATACCTAGGTCTTTGCTTTTCTACATTATTACAAGTTTGCTGCATGGGTCTCTCTACATGGTTTCGTGTACAGTGTCATCACCATGCCATTGAGCACTTCACATGGCTCCACGCTGAGCAGACCAGCGCCGCGCAGTCAGCACACGCATCATAGTTCAATTGGCGGAAAAAAGCGAAGTGACGCAGTATCAACGGCGGTGGCTCAGGACCCACGGCATCGGATCAAATCCGGTACTGCGGAGCAGCGTGGGCGAATGAAAGTGGATGCATTTCGCATCCGTGGTGGACCGGGAGAGGCGCTTCTCCAGTTCTCAAGGGGGTAAAGGGGCCGCAACAAGGACGAGATCAGACGATGTTGACGGGCATTGATCAGTGAGACCAGTAGCTTGTAGTAAACGTCCTGGCCATGTTTTAATTGGGGGAGAAAGGATGATGACGGTATGAGATCACCGGTAGAACAAGTATCGGTACGGGAGGGTCGGTGGCGGGCGCGGCGAGCGTACGAAGGAAGAGTTGGAGAAGAGAGAGGGACCGTAGGATAAGGACGAACGGATGGAGGTCTGAATCATCAGAAGGGAAGAAAAATCCCCGGTATAGAAGGAGAAAACAGGAAAGCAGCGACTCACCGAGACATCCCGATCTTGTCCGCGAAACTGAATTATGTCCACGCTGATTGGTTCCGACCCGTGTCACGGGAGCCGACGGGGGCCGCAGGTACAAAACCACGGGAAAATCTTGCTTGTCATTTCTTCTTTCTGTTCCGGACTGTACAGCTGTCTTATTCTCTTTAATCCTCCTTTAATTACACATCATTCAAAATGGGCAAGGACGCTTCTTTCGCTCCCGGTAAGCTAACCCCCCTGTCTACTCTCCTCCCCCTTGGGCTTTGGTCTGGCCTGGAAGCCCGAGACTCTGCGGTGTCGCGCGACAGCGACGAGAAGGACGGAGACGAGATGAAGAGAAAAGCGAGTAGAGCTCGACCGCGCCTGCTCAATTGAGAGCACCGGCTGTGCCCAGCGCTCAACTCAATCGCGCTCTCATCACTCGCGACTTCCAACTCTCACTTGCGACCTTGAACCATCAACATCCACGTTCGCGCAAGCACCGCAATTGCATTTCCAGACACCGCACTCCAGCCTCCAGACGTCAGACTCCACCTGCGCTGTCACCATGACCGGCCTCGATGTGATCGGGACCATCGGTCTCCTGCACATGGTCTGGGAAATGGAGGCAGCCCAGGCCGAACCCAAAGCCGAAGCCCAACCTCATCGAAGCCAAACAGCTGTCTAATACAATTCCTTATTCAGGTGACTCTGCCAAGGGCGCCAAGCTCTTCCAGACCCGCTGCGCTCAGTGCCACTCCGTCGAGGCTGACGGTGCCAACAAGGTCGGCCCCAAGCTGCACGGTCTGTTCGGCCGTAAGTCCGGTCAGGTCGAGGGCTACTCCTACACCGACGCCAACAAGGGTGCTGGTGTCACCTGGGACGAGGACACTCTGGTAAGAACCGCAGCTCCGATCCCATGACCGCCACGGCCTGCTAACACTCTTGTTCCCCACAGTTCAAGTACCTCGAGAACCCCAAGAAGTTCATTCCTGGCACCAAGATGGCCTTCGGTGGCCTCAAGAAGGGCAAGGAACGCAACGATCTCATCACGTATGTTTTCTCTACAGCCACGATTCCAGATCGCCCGCTAATGCAACCTCCACAGCTACCTCAAGGAGTCAACTGCTTAAATGACATGATGAATTATTCCCCCACGGCATTATGTTCTCGTTCTCACACCCCGTCCCGTGGAATGATAGACGTCTGGGATTCGGTTGTCGCCGTGGGCCGACTTTCGGGCATCCAAGGGACTGGGCATGTAATATTATCGGAGATTATCATGTTTGACCCGCAATAGATTTTGAATCTTTTCTCTCTTCTCGTCATCACTTCCCAGGATGTTAGCGTAGTGGCTGCAGGGCTGGTATGCAGGTACTGGTAGACGGATCCATATCTGCAGCGACTCTATCGTACGGCACGAACGGTAGTGGAAACTAGGAGACTACGGACCTAGGGGGTGGCTACAAGCCCCAAAACGGAAGAATGTGTTTCAGGTGCTGGGGCAATCAGACACATCGATTGGGCGACAATGGCGGTCAGGCACCGGGGGCGGGTACACCGAGGTCTCTCCACCACTAAACTTGTATGCTTCAGTACAAGGATGTACATGCAGTGACTCCCCGTGGCTTCGTCCCTCCTGGCACACATGACTCGAACTGATTGGCCCAGCCTCCTCTTCAGATGTGAGGCCTCGCATCGTGTAGACTGTCGTCTCTTCTTCAACAAGTTCCTCGTTTCTGGTCCTGTTCAACATCGTTGATGCTCGATCGCGACTGTCCCAGAACTCGATTATACATTGAATTCGCTTCTCCCGGGTCCTGAAGCCCCTCCTGAAACTACTTTCGTCGCATCGCATTCTATCGCATCGCATTTTGGCGCGCGGGGTCGATTGACTACGCTCTACGCTCTTCTAACCGCACAGCAACACCCCGTATCATTTATCATATGAGAGCATTGCAGGGCGCTTGCACTAACCGCCCTGATTCCAGCCATTGAACCAACAAGTATCGCGATCGCAGGCCTCGGTGCGCTGCGTCGCTGCGACTCTGCCCCGCTTTGGAAGCGCCAGCATCGCAAGACGCCGTCCACCATGTTGGATGAGCTTGACCACGTCTTCGACGACCATCCGTCGCTGGATGCGTCGCTGGAAGACTTTGAAAACAACAGCAATGCGCACCGCTCTCCACTCTTTGGATTGCCGTCACAGCACTCTGGCTTTCGTTCTGAAGAATCCGACGGCGAGGAAGATCCCGCCGATGACCGCTGGTCGCCGCCTGGTTTGCGCCAGCACGATTATGTCCAGGGCAGCGGCTGGTACCGTCACCAGCCCTACTTGCGCCAGGGCAATCTCCACGAGCGCCTAGAGTTGAAGCCTACGGTTGGTCTGGGCCAGTCGCCTTCCGCGTCGCGCGAGCCTAGTCCCCAGTATGAGGATGCCCCCGAGGGTCCCAGCAAGGGAAAGGCAAACGACGATGCCGAGTCAGGCGATGTCACAGTTGCAGCCAATGTACCCCTGCCCATGGGCCCAGGTACCCCACAGATAGGACGATCCCCCAGCCCCCGACCTGCGCAGAGCCCCGGTGCAACTCACAATAGCCCCAACAGTCCTGAGGACGATGGGATGGGGTTTGGCCCCGAGAACTTGAGTAACTGTAGGCATTGCCTGACCTGGGTATATACCCTTCTCTGCATGCACAGAAGCACTAACTTGTTCTTGCGCATGACTTGAAGACATTCGATTTGCCGTGCGCGCCGAAGTCCAACATCGCGAGCCCATTGCTGCCCTCTTTGGCTATCTGCGCAACAAGTTTGATCGTATTACAAGTTCCAAGTCCAACACTACCCTGTCCGTTCTCATACTGTTGGTGTCCGTTGCGTTTATGCGCGCATTGCTTCTCCCCGGTCTGCCTCAATCAATCCCGGATCTAGTAAAGCTTTCAGGATTTGCACGCTCTTTTGAACCATTGATCTACTATTCAGAAAATGGTGTCCAACAGATTGGTACCCTTCAAGAAACGGGCGTGGCTGTCTGGGACTTGAGCGAGTCGGTGCGTGGTACCAACATGACCAGTGCGCCTATCATTGTGCGCCAGCTAGATGAGCTATCCGACTCACTTAAGTCACTCTCCCTTGAGTTGACACGATTCTTCGCCAACGTTGACTCAGACATCGACTCCATCTTGATCGTGATGGACTGGGCCAAGCGCGAACTGGAAACCCTATCTGCGCAACCCCCTAGTACCCTCCCAACCATCGTCTTCGACAACATGCACAATATGCTTTCGCGCCTTGGTGCATTGGAGCGCACAGCCGAAGTAGAAGGTGGCATTGCCACCACTGCAACAACAACAACCCTCGGACACCTAGTGATGGCCGTGCTCGGGCCAACATCAGCGCAACGCACACGCGCTACTCTTACGCGAACATTCGCCGAGTTTCTTTCCGTGCTCGAAGAGTCCATCAATAGTGAACTCACCCATTCAACGGCCCTATTTGCCCTTTTTGAATCAATCGACCGCCAGTTCCTGAACCTGCAACGTACGGTTGTCCGCGAATCAGATGCCCAAGAACGTGCCGAGGGGGAGATGCTCAGCTCTCTCTGGACTCGCGTACTAGGTCCTGATGCTGCTGCCGTTCGCAAATACGAGAAGAACAAGAAACTACTCGCCAACGTGCGCAGCCGAACTGTCGCAAACAAGCACCTCCTCGTTGACCACCGTGGCCGTTTACTTACGTTAAAAGTCAACCTGGAGACTTTACGCCGCAAACTCGTGAGCCCTCTTGTGCGCCGTAACGATTCCGTCAGCTTCATGGGAGTAGACGGTAGCACTGGGTCTGGAAGCTACGGCGCAGCCGGACGAATGCTCGGGCCCGTCGAAGCCGTCATCGATGGCCAGATCAAAGGTCTAGAGGGAACATATGATTACCTCCGATCCGTTCGTGAACGGCAAAAGGCCAAATTAATGGAAATGGTCTACGGAGCCGGGCGGAAACCTTCAACGTCAATGTTAGGATTGGATGGGCAGGAAGAAGATGTATGAGCGTCCGTAGAGCTTTCCTTTTGGTTCTGATCTACATCTACACACTCTCCTCTATCTGTGGTCATCTCGCATTGGATTCGGTGTGGGATTTTCGGCGTTACTCTATTTAAGGCTTATGGTTCTGCTCGCGGTGTCTAGGCTCATTGGGATTTCAACGGTCAACCCTAATCACTCTGGCGTTTCCGGTCTCGATCCGTCGGGCCGTTAGAGGCGCATGCAAGAGAAAAGGAAATAGGGATAGAGACAGGCGGCACATATTCTCACTCTTACTTCATTTATTGTTTAGCAATTGAGTATACGTTCATTTGTTCAGGTTATTGTTTTGTAGTAGATCCGACACATGGCCAATAGCCACACCCCAACTACATCGCTCAAGACTGCAGAGATATATCCCGAGGTTCAATCTACAGGTTAATGAAAAGCCTCCCGCGTCTTGCCACTAGCCGGCCGGGCTCGACTACCCAGACACTTCCGAGCCCTAGGACTCACGCACTCTGCAACTAAGTGGAGACTGCGATCAGATACCGGACGGTCATACCTTCTTCCCGTCTCCCATTCTGTGTCCATTGGGGGATTAACACGCGGAGATAGAGTCAGATCAGGCAATTTCATACTTCCCATCAGAAGATGAAGAACACCAACACCCCGCCAATCCAAATAGGCCCCGTCAGTCCAACTAGCGGAGCCTACGTTCGCCCCCACTGGATATGTCCAGGGTCCGATGCTGACTAGACCCTGCAAACATACCCAATCAAGTGTGCATCGCACGCAGGACAATGCATGCCAATGCAGATTCAGGAGAGCTAGGCCTAAGGTTGGTTAGACATGCGACCATCACTGGTTGGAATAAATCGAGTACATGGCTAGATCGATGCCCTACAGGGCCCAAGCTGGAGAACGGGATCTACTTATATTGCCTACTATCCCATCTCCCACAATGCTTTCTGGGTGTATTTCAAAATGACCATGCTCAGTCATCACTTCCTCGCGCTTGGACTTGTACTCTTGCAGACATGGGCTATGCCCAATGTCCTGCGCAAGACCGGACAGGGCGATTCGCCTTCTTTGGACTTGCCCACTGCCGCGTCGAAATCAAATGCCCAAGCGGCTTTCCAGATGGACTATCTTGCGATGATTGCTCTGCGTGCTGCAACTGATAATGTTGTTCAGCATCAACAGAAGGGATGTACTGAGCAGGATGTGCGGGTTCGGAGGAATTGAAGAGCTTTTTCAGATGGTGAAAGGAAGGCCTATATCAAGTCTGTGCGGTGTTTGCAGAAATTGCCAGCTAGAACGCCTGCAACTCTTGCTGCTGGAGCGAAGACAAGATATGATGATTTCGTGGCTACGCATATTAATCAGACATTAGAGATCCATTACACGGTGTGTGACTCCAGACAAGTATGCGATTGATAAATGCTGATTTCACCCAGGGAACCTTCTTAGCATGGCATCGGTACTTCATCTACGAATTCGAACAAGCCCTCCGCGACGAATGCGCCTATACTGGCGACTTCCCGTAAGATTGACATTCCAACTCTATGACGACGACCTTTCTAAAAATTCCCACCAGATACTGGGACTGGTCCGCCGACGTCGAAGGCATGGAACGATCCGCCGTCTTCGACGGCACCGACACCTCAATGTCGGGTAATGGCGTCCACATCGCCAACGAAGCCGACATTCAACTCGCCCTAGGCACTTACCCAATAGTCGACCTCCCCACGGGAACAGGTGGCGGCTGCGTAACCAGCGGCCCTTTCAAGAACTACACGGTCAATCTAGGTCCCGCGGCCTTAGTTCTCCCCGGCGGAAACGCGACCGCGGTTGCAAACCCATTGAACTATAACCCGCGCTGTCTGAAACGGGATCTCACATCCGCCATTTTACAGCGGTTCAACAACTACACCGCTGTCGCGAATTTGATTCTTCAGAGTAACGATATCTGGGACTTCCAAATGACCATGCAAGGTGTTCCCGGGTCAGGGTCTATAGGCGTGCACGGCGGTGGACACTATTCTATGGGTGGGGATCCGGGTCGAGATGTTTATGTTAGCCCGGCTGATCCTGCGTTCTGGCATCATCATGGAATGATTGATCGAGTGTGGTGGATTTGGCAGAATTTGGATCCGGAGAATAGGCTGAATGCTATCTCGGGGACGGGGACTTTCTTGAATGAGCCGGCTTCGGCGAATACGACGTTGGAGACCTTTGTTGATATTGGGTTTGCGAATGGGTGGCCTATTAAGATGAAGGAGCTTGTGAGTACTACCGCTGGGCCATTTTGTTATGTTTATATTTGAGATGGGAAATGGTGTGTCTGGAATATGGGTGGGGTGAGTCTATGTCTGTTGGTGGTGGTGGTGGTGTGGTTTGTTGTATAGTGGATGATATGCAGTAGAGACGAGTGGCTGATTAGATCGTGGATAGAAGCATAGAAGGGCTGACGAGATCTTTCGGGATCATTAGCTAATTGCTTACCAGGTACTGTATGTACCAAGAAAGGTATCCGATCTTCGTTCTTTCCCTCCTTCCATTGTAAGAGCGCAATGGGGTGCGGTTCGGACTTCTTTCCCTACCATTATAGTGAAACTCATTCGAGACTCGAGATGAGAAATACGAGAAGGTTCTTGCTCAACCAAACAAGCCGTTGCCACCGCATAGACCGTGCAGATCTATTCCTGGGTCTATAGTAATTTCTCGTATAGCATCTCGCAGTGTGGCTGAACCTTGTAAACGCTCGTGCCTCTTATGACGTGTGATAAGCGCGCATGAGATTACTTGAACGGAGATTAATTTTAAAAAATGCATTCTTCAGATCAATTCAGATAAAGTCTAGACATGCAGTAAATAGATCGCTATCAGTCACCAACATGCTTCGCTCTTTGCACTTTTAGTCGAAAAGAACCACTGCACTGTCCTTCACAAGGGTTGGGCCTAGGACTGCGGCCAGCTCGGCAATGATTCCCTTCAGTGATTGTGGGTTGTTCATGGGCATGTCTTCCCAGCCGACGAGATCCTGTATGGAGTCAGCAAGGTGGCTCAGAGAGAGATGAGAAGGTGGTGTTACACTCATGTTCACAAAGGTCCCGTGGTAGAGGAGGTGCCAATGATCCAGGTCCAATGCTTCTACCTCATCCATAGTCAAGACACCAGGCATGTGAAGGTCAAAGAGGGAAAGCTCTTCCTCATTGATATCGCTGTCGATTGGCTGACTCGAAGTCGAGTCCTCGGCATTTGTGGATCGGGATCGGTCTCGTGACAGGGAGACATAGGAACGCTTGTTGAGTTTTTCCGTGAGTTCGCCAGCCAAGGGATCCCATTCATTTGTTTCGGGGTCTGCACCAGACTCGTTAGAATGATATTCTAGTGGAAAGACTGAATCGATGTTAACTCACCAAGGATATACTGTGGTCGGAAGTCGCCCTTGTAGCGCATCTTTACGCAACTGTGGATATAGTATCCTGTAGTCCGTTATTAGCAGTGCACATGCCATACAGTGTTCGAAAATTACCCATATAGTAGAAAGGATAGTCGTTCTCGATGCAAAAGGCAATTTCGCGCATGGCACTGAGCTTGCCAAATTGCCAGTGCTCATATTCAGGATCATAGCTACCACTTGTTAGCAATGCACCCCCACAATTCGAAGAAAAGACACTCACAAGACGTATACCGAGCTCACGCCATTGGGAACTAGATCCAGGACCGCAACAGCGATCAACTTGCCATCCAGTCGATAACACTGATGCCATGACCCGAGCTTTTTTTCGTCTGCATTAGCCTTTGTAGGTTTGGCGGGAGATCGCTTGATGCCAGCGCAGAGGAAGCGCTCAAAGTCCTTGGTCTTCCAACGGGAGACGTCCTCGCGATGAACTTTTGTCTGATACTTGGAAAAAAGCTCAAACTTCGTCTGAGAAACCGAGTCTCCTTCGATGTTGACCTCGAAACGATGCGCCGGCTCCAGGGGTCTTTTCGTCTCTGGATCAATGGGCCGCTTGACGTTGCTATATTCCGATTCGTGAACAGCAGACAGCAGGTCAAAGTTGCACTTTCGGTGTCGCTTTTCCCTGCACAACTTGTCAGGAGTCAATTGCCAATAAACAGACTGAATTACTCACTCTCGAGTGCGGGGACACAGTCTGGCTGCCTTGCGCATGTACTCGGGACCCAGAACAAATTTGGTCCAGGCATTGATTGCCTTGCGCTGGTCACGGCGAGGTTGGTAAGCAGAAGCCTCGAGTCTCAGCGTGTAGTGAGGACAGCATGACCGCTGCAAGTTCTGCTTATAGTATAGCGAGCCGGATCTGTATGTAAAGAACAGAACGTTAGGCACATGCATGCTAGGACAGGGGTAGATCGGCGATCATACCGTCTCCAACCCCGATCAATTAGCTCCCCATAGTGCTCGGGGCGCACGGCCACAGAGCTGGCGTAGTAGGAGGCGCCTAGAAATGACGTGTCAGGAATATCATTCCATAAATAGAGAGAGGAAATGACATACTACCATCCTCTGATTTACAGTAACCGCAGGAGTTCCGTTGGTAGCCTGCCAGTGAATGGTCAGTATTTACCTAGTGGGAGGGGAAAACCGACAGGAGCTGCAGGAGATTGACAAGTAATCCCCGCCAGGGTGGCCCCCGGGTCGCAGCCCACCAGGGCCAGTGGACGCGCCACGGGGACGCAGCCGGCGGTCTCAGTGGCCCGTTGCAAGGGCCGAGTGGGACGTACCTAATGGCCGGAAGAGCGACAGCTGTCGCGCGCGTTCGGCGTCAACTGGTTCCATTTTTGCCGTAGAATTTGAGGATTTCGGGTTGGTTGGCGGCCCCGGCGGAAGTGAAAAACTAGGATGTGAGAGGCAAACACACAGCGGAGTGGACCGTGGCAAAAATTGAAAGGGTAAGTGTAGAAAGAAGAAGGGCTGGGGGGGGGTGAGAAGAAGGAGAAATGTAGAGGGCGGGGGGTATGTAATTATACTACTGCTGTATACAAGGAGGCTCTTCGTGACCACATATCTACACCACTTTCGCGTCCTAAGTAGCGAAGTCGCCGGTAGTATGGTTCTATGGTTCTATGGTTCTATGGATATCGGTGATGCTTTTCTAAGGTTCGATCACCTGCCCGCTTACCAGATCGGACATCCATCGCTCCGGCTTTCCTCTCGGTACCAATGTTCAGGGCCGGGGCTATACATAGTAAGGTCTAGACAGGACTGGTCAAGGACCGGTCAATTGCGGTCTCTTCTACCCGAATAAGCACAGAAATTAGTAGCTCTCATTGAGTAAACCGTAGTGTAAAGTACCTGTACGGTTCAGTTAGTTGCCTTCGCCGGACTGCGCCGCCGGTTCACTCTGCCCCTCCAAGCCCACTCTCCCCTTCAACTGCCTCATTAACTCATTTCCCTTCTATTTCCCGCCATGTCTCTTACCAATACCTTTCGCTTCCCCACGGGAATGAATGGGAATACCTAGTCCACTTTCTGCGTGATCATCTCTGCGTTGTTCCCTAGGAAAAAAATTTCCCTCCGACCGCCCACCAGAAAACCGTTGTACGCCCGAAGCGACAGCTTTCATCCTCTCCACCCCCCAACTCCCCCCTTTCAAGGGCTCCCTGGGAGTTTGAGCTGAGAGCTTTCTTCTTTTGGACCGTCTCTTTCTTGTTCTCTACCTCCAATTTCCGCTACCCCCGTTCCTCCACACTCTTTTTCGCCTCCCCAGTGTACTGGGAATCTCGGCAACTGAACGCATCGGGAAATCTTGTGCATGACAATGGCACAAAACCGGAGCATGGAGTCTCGCGTCGGGCGCAAGAACCAACGTAAGTCTCCTTTCGCGCACGTGGGAGGCGATCGACCTAGTCATGACTGACCCCCGGGCTTCCCTTGCAGGTTACGGTTCGAAAGGAGAGCGCCTGGTAGCTGGAGTCGTCCCGCTGTCTGCCGACAAGACCAAAGTCCTCATGATTCAATCTGCAGGCCCTGGTGGTTGGGTCTTGCCCAAGGGAGGATGGGAAACCGACGAACAAACTGCTCAGCAGGCTGCGTGTCGCGAAGCCTGGGAAGAAGCCGGCGTCATCTGCACCGTGCTGCGGGATTTGGGATTGATCCCCGACATGCGCCCCTCCGGCCTCCTCACCGCGCAAGCTCCCAAGGCCTCCTACCAATTCTTCGAAGTCAGCGTCGAGCGCGAAGAAACCGAATGGCCCGAGATGCACAAGCGGAAACGCCAGTGGGTTGGCTACACTCAGGCTGCGACTGCGCTGGCCAATCGCCCCGAGCTGTTGGAAGCTTTGAATCGCAGCTCGCTCAAGCGGTAGCCACCGCCCGTACATACTGTGACAACAGGCTTCGTATACACGAAGGCCCGGGTGTTGCTACTCCCCTGCTCACCCGTTTCATGACCTGACACGACCCCGGAAAAAAAAAAGAGATCGGTGGCTTTCTTGCTTTCTTGATTTTCTCGAATTTCTCAACCTTCTCAACTCCCGACTTCTCCTGTTCCCATTACCTTCCATCTTTGCATTACATACGTCTCTGCGGACGGGCTGCTGTATTACCCGTCCTTCTTCTGGCGCACGATATCGGTTCTTTGCTTTCTCGCTTCTATCCTCATAGACGCCCTGCGCAGGCTCTGATTTGGGCTTCCAACCGGTCAGGAGGGCCTGTAAATCTCAAGTGGTCAGATTTTATGGAGGCTCTTGCCTACTCTATCTCCGTGGAAAGGGAAGACAAGTTTGACTTAGAAGTGAACTGAGGATCATCACAGTTCTCGCTAGCAGTTGAATTTGAATCTGAACTACGCCCTAAATCCCACAATAGACAATAATGAATCAGTAAAACGGAAATGAGCTTGACATGTCCGTCGCAAATCAGCATCGGCATTCAATGGTCGTGACGTTGAATTTGTGCGAATCGGCGGCTCAGGGTGGTGTCCCGATTAGGCAAAGTGCCAAGACACCTCCGAACTGCGAGTTCAGCAAATCATTCACTTGCCTCAACCCCAACTTTCTTCATCTCCTCCAACCTCACCGCTCCCTCCTATCTGCGTGGATCTCTGTTTGGGGCTTCCATTCCTTTGACATCCAGCAGTTACACGCGTTCTTACGGAGATTCGGCTCGCGGCGACAAGCGCTGGCGCAAGATGGATTACGAGATGGACCTTGAGCCCCAAGGGCCGCAGGTGACTGTTCGCGAAGTGAGTTGATGATAGTTTTTTGCAGCCATCAGAGCAGCCGATTGTTGACTGTCACCACGCAGGCCGAGCCCTACCGCGTCGACTTCAAACTCTCCTCATGCGACCTGGCATTTGCCAACTCCCTCCGTCGAGCCATCCTCGCCGAAGTCAACACCGTCGCCCTGGATTTGGTTGAAATCGAGAGCAACACCTCGGTGCTCCCCGATGAGATGCTTGCCCACCGACTGGGCATGATCCCTCTGAACTCGAAGAACTGTGAATCTGATCTAGAATATACGCGTGAATGCGATTGCGAGGACCACTGTGTGCGCTGTAGTGTGACACTTTCTCTGCACACACGATGCAGCAGCGGGATCATGCCTGTCTACGCGCGTGATCTCATCGTCCAGGGCGAACGGATGAACGACACAATCGGAGATCCTGTCATTACGGACAAGGAGGGCAAGGGGGCTCTCATCTGCAAGCTCCGGAAGGGTCAGGAAATCAAGCTCACCTGCCTGGCTAAGAGGGGTACCGCTAAGGAGCATGCGAAGTGGGCACCCACCTCTGCTGTGGGATTCGAATACGACCCCCACAACAACTTGCGCCACGTGGACTACTGGTACGAGCAGGATGCGAAGAGTGAATGGTAAGTACTCTGGTCAATTGATTGAAGAATTGCGCTGATCCTGGACTACAGGCCTATCTCCGCCAATTCCCAGTGGGAGCCCGCCGCAAACCCCGATATGCCCTTTGACTACGATGCCGAGCCGAACATCTTCTACATTGACGTCGAGAGCATCGGAAACCTTGAGCCCGATGTCATCATCCAGCAGGGCATTAACATCCTTATGAAGAAGCTCGCTACCACCATCTCAGAGCTCTCAGGTGAGAGTGCACACGGTCATGAAGATGCGGAGATGCTGGGCGCTGGAGACCCCGACGCCTACGAGCCTCCAGAGGGCATTGATGGCAACCTGACCTCGTACGGAAATGGTGGTGCCAATTCATGGGGGGCCAGTGCCCAAACCCCCTACGGTGCTACGCCATATGGGCAGAGCGCCTACGGGTACTAAGCGGACAAGGGGGGCATAAAAATATCTAAGACAGACTCTTGCATGCAGGTTGGAGTTCTTTTTCATTTCTTTCAGTTTGTGCTTTTATTTTGGCGGCTGGCGGCGCATTGGAGTTCCGTGAACTTACGCCGAGGCGGATGATGCTGAGATCCCGCTTGTTCATAAATCTCATCACCTTAAAAAAAAAGCTCACTGATCTACCTACACTTGCAGTCAATATCAAATTTATCATCAACAATTTTTCTTTCACATAGTCGTTGTTGCAGGTGACGGGTATTCTTCTGCAACTCCATGCGGCACCATGCCAAAGCAATGAAGTACAAGGTTCCGAGTCAGGTTTACCTGTCTTAGATACCTATGAACCACCTGAGCAGCCCAAATTTCCAGTAATTTCGCTCTCTAGCCTCGTAGATCTACTTCCTACCGATTAGATCCAGTTCCTCTGCTCTCTTTGGTTTCCTTCCAGCCTCAATATACTATTAACCTTGCCATCGATATCTTTTCCAGCAATAGATCAATGAATGTAAGTACCACGCCCAAGCATATGCTAGCCAATATAATCAAGAGTCTATTTTTGCGCACGAAGAGACTAAACGGGAGTAAATCTCCTATGAGAAAGATGTACATGCCACCTGGTATAGTTTTCTGGGGCAAACTTTAGTGGCCTGTCGGTGAGTAAGCCCCCGGCCATTATTGTCCCCGATTGGAAGCAACCTCAAGTCTATCGAAGGTAACAGATGTAAGACATAAGCATGAAGATGATCCCGGTAGTTCTAGATTGACGAATGTATGAGCCAACTTATTTAGCCAGACCCGCATGCAAAGGTTGTCTTCTCAATTATTGAGACTCGAGAGACCAGTGGTTTGATCGCTGAGGTAAAATGGAAGATGGAATCCAGAGAGATTGACTTTGAGACATTGAATGTAAACATCTTGTTTACATTGAATCTAAAGTCTAGGTCATCATACTACCCCACACCCTTCTCTCTCAGCAGAAGTTCTGTGGCCTCTTAACTTGGCCATCTCTAGAGTATCAATATGCCGCTTCGCCGCAGCAATCAGATCATCATCATCTCTAAAGCGACCCCTCATCTCCATCAAAAAGACCGACGCGGAAAGTCCAACCTGTTCGGATATCCTGCATTAATCTTGCTTAAATGATGGTTGCGGCTTTGCTGGCGCGACAGCGGTCTTGCGCTTCGGTTATTAGGTTGCTGATATACTCTATGGTGAATGAATAAGATGACGACTAGGCTCAATGTCAAGGGGATGACTTGGCTGCTTTATTGGATTCATGGAGATATATGTACATATTTGAAGATCGGAAAATTTGATACTGAGACTTGGTAACGCTGCGGCGCGTGCCCAGACAAAGAAGAGATCATTTTTCATGTTGAAACCCATCAAAGAGACCTATACTTCTTTATTGCTTCCTCTTATCCTACTTTGCCTATGTGATATCTAATTGCTATTATATAATTAACATGATAAGCGAGACAAGCGACAAGTCTTTAATCGTATCCTCAACGTTTTCCGTCTTGATTCTCCTGGCCTCGTCCTTAACTTCCCATCGCACTTTCCTTAACAGAATTCGCTCATATCCAAATCACCTCATACCCAGACATGTCACTACTTCCACCTCTCCATATCCGCCATGGCATCCCCAACGCGCGAAACCAGTCCTTCATTCATCCAGCAACGCGACATGTTATTCACTCAGCTCAACGAGCAAAGCGTCATTCTCAAAAAATCCCCAGAACAATACCTCGTCATCGCCGACGCCCTGGATGATCTCGCGCAGAAAATCGCCTCCTTCAAGCTCGACGCACACTCGCCTCTCTGCTTCAGTGCGAAGTACGATGCCCTCGCCACTACACTGCTATGCCACAGCGACGTGTTAAAGTCTCACCCAAGTCGACATGTCGAGATCGCTGCGTCTATCGATCTGATGCAATTGCGACTCGGTCGACTTACCATGAAGCTTGATAGGGATAATGACTTTGCGCTGAAGATGGATGCGCTGGCGAGTCGGATGGAGACTTCGTGGATGCCGAGTGATGGGATGGATGGGATGGAGTTAGCCATTAAGGAGCATTTGCATCGGGTTTGGTGGGAGCTGAATCTCAAGGTTCCAGGCTGTGAATGTGGGAATGGTGAGAAGGATGAGAAGAGGTTAGTTGGCTTGCTGAGGGTTGATCGTTTCTTTGCCTAGCCTTTTTTTTTAATATGGTAGCTAACATGCGCTGAAGGGCTCTTGATTGGTGAAATGTCGTTTTTATTTTTATACGAGGTATCGGGGGACCATCAATATGGAGTTTCCTTCCTCTGTCACCTCTGGGATGGCCAGGGCTAGACTCGTTGATTACTGAGAGACGTTGATCTGATATGGGGTTCTTCACGGGGGATATGAGACTCGACAAGTGGGCGGAATGAGTGATCAAGCAAACCACTTTGAAATCTTGAAGTGGACCCAACCTAGTGATTGCTACGAATGATACGAAATTACCAAGACGAATTGTGTACAGTTGAATATGTATATTATTACCAATAGGTACTATTTTCAAGCCGACAAAGCCGACATGTAGACCGTATCCGAAATGCAAAGCAAATCAAAACCACCAATCCCAACGCCAAGCAAAAGCACCATCTTGGATGATCTATGCAGAACCGTCGCTAAGAAATGCACACGAACAATGCACCTTCAAAAATCATTTAATCCATCAGCTCAACTGGAGGCCGCGCCGTCTTAGGCGGCATCTTCTTCAGCGACATCTCAACGGGACTTAAGTCCAGATCCATATCGACATCAACATCCTCAACATCCTCATCCTCGACATCCGGTAAACTGACATCCTCAACCATCACAGCCGGCAGATTAGGGCTGTGGCCGTGGTCTTCAGGGTTGAAAAGGATGGTGCTGCTGCGGGAGCGTTGCTGGGAGCCCGCAAGCGGCCAGCTGCCGGTACGGTTATCGGAGATAGAAACGGGCGTAGCAGGGTCAACGGGCGCAGGCTCGACGTGATCAGTCTTGAGCATAGCAAGAGCGGTGGCCAGATCACTAGCGTGAACTTCCTTGTTGGGCGGGTCCTCATTGCGCATAGTCCAACCGTGGGGAGGACTGGGTGGCGGGGAGATGAAGAAGAGCTTGTCGAGTTGCGGGGCTTCGAGGAGGCGCTTTGGACGGCGCATTTCTTCCTCGCTGAGGACGGGTGTGGGCTCGCCAAAGTAGATCCGGGGTCGCACGTTGCGGGTTAGGAATCTGGTGTTTTCTAGATGCTTGCGGACGGCGACGGCGTCGGCATCGGAATGGAATGAGCAGACGATGCGCCGGAAGGAGGGAAGCGGCGAGAAGGAGTTTAGGCGTGCGATCACGGTGATCTGGGTGCGAATCGCATCTAGAGAGGACGGCTGGAAGAGAACGAGATCGTTTAGATCGGTGATCAAAAGGGTGTTTGATGGTGGTGTGGGCTGCGACAGCGCGGGGATGTTGGATAGGTCGATGGAGAGCGAGGGCCGCGATGAGGATCGGCCGTGGAAGGATGGAGAAGAGGGCAGAGAGCGAGGAGGAGAAGCGGATTCAGCCATGGTGGTTTGGGTGTGTTGGTTTGGACGAGTACTTTGAGGTTGGGAGGAAAGAGTCGCGGAGGATAAGAGAATGATAAAGGGGGGGGTTTGCCACCGGATAAGGTAGAAGGGTCTAGATGCGTGGAGGCAACTCGGGTTTTTAACCTTGATTTTTAAGGAACAGTTGGAGATAATTGGAGATTAGGAAGAAGGGAACTACTATTTAACTCGGGACCTGGGTTTGCATTCCTTAAAAATCTGGAGAGGCGCAGCGGACAGCATCATCATGCTGACACGGCCGTCTCAGCACAGCCGTCGCCCGATTGGGAATGAGTTGGTTCCTGACCGACCCACTTGCACCTTCATGAGCCACCGCTAAACCGCAAACAGTAAGTATTGAGTCTGAATGGCCTGCATTAGCCACATCTACGCCACATCCTCTCTTAAGTGTTAACTCCACACATCTGAGGCGCGTCTCCGCTCCGCCTCACCCTACAAAGGACACCTAGGGACCTGGTGGTGACTTTGTTATTCGTCTGCCTTGGTTCAAAGGGCTTGGCCGCGCTCCGCCCTGGCAATGCCACCCCAGGATATATGAGCCTTCCTAATGCGGAGATGGCTCGTCGGTTCCGGATGTCTGCGGCAGGGACCTTAATTCCCAATGCAAGGCAGCTCTTTATGTTTATTTACTATTATTCTTTTTGCTCGAAGGTGAAGGCCGCTTGCATTCGATTTATCTGTGCTCTCTTCGTCGGCTTACACAGTGGCTCAAACCTCAAAATATGTCGAATGCATGGGGTAGGCCTGGAAAGACATGCGCTTCTACCTGGATGTTCGCCTGCATTTAACGCGAGGTGTACTCCATAGTTTTACTGAGGAACATGTCTCGGTTTCCCAACTCGAAAATTTGTAGGTGGCAGACCCTCGAGATAGGCCCGTGCTGGAACCGCTTACGGGGAGACGCGGTAGGTGCCAAAATCCAATCCTAGCCAGGTTGACTAGCATGCATAATTGGTTTCGCACGACCATATCGCGAGTCCTGTATGATTGGGTGGTTTTTGGTGTTGCGGTTATCTGGCGTGGGGTAAATGCGAATTTGCTTCGCCACGGGAGACGAATGCCCCCAGTCACAGGCCATCAACGTGATGCTCGTGGCTAGGTTTGCATCGACTCTTCGGGTGCCAGTCGGTGATCCACAGAGAAGACCTGCACATTGCTCTGGTGTTACTACAGATCGGATAACGAAGGGATCGTTCATTGGGGCTTGGCTTTTTGCTGGGCAAGAAAGGCTCCATTGCTTTACAGATGTCGGGATCGTATTGAAGGGACATGACCGTGATCGAGTCGTCTCAATTCTTCAAGTGTGAATCAAGAGATCGGTTCACTTTGACTTTAAATCCCTTTCTCAAGTCGTTAGAGTTTCCTTGGGGCCTGTCTGAGACATCTAGATCTTTGGGAACGAGATAAGAGTTACAGCCGTAAGACGTTATCACTAAATCAGGAAAAAGATTGTCTATGGCCTCAAGGCCAGTATCTTCCCAGGTCAATTCCGAATGTCATTGCATTGGACGGATTGCGGCGAACATGTAACAACAAGACTTGATCAATCAATAAACAAACCCCCAGAAGCAATAATATGCGCCCCATTCACCCACCGCGCCCGCTCCTCGCACAGAAATGCAACCGCATAGGCGATTTCCTCCGGCTGCCCCATCCTCGGCCCAACAGGAGTCTGATCAATAACTGGTTGGAGAATCTTCATCTGCTCCTCGCCAGCAGCAGCGAAGCCTTCTGTCATGGTCGGACCAGGGCTTACTGCGTTGACAGTGCATCCGTATTTTGGAGGAAGTTCCTTGGCCCTAGGTTCTTGTTAACAGTGGACACTGCAAATACAACAGAGAATACTCACCAGCACTTGGTAAACGAATCAACCATGCCCTTGGTGCCAGCATAAATAGTCTGATTCGGCGGTGGACCTCGAGCCGAGATACTCGCGATATTCACAATACGCCCGCTTCCTTTGGTAAGATGTGGCAGACAGGCTTTTGTCAAGAGGAAGGTTCCGCGGCCGTTGATGTTCACAAGCAGATCCCAGTCATCTAGAGTTTGCTCCTCTAATGGCTTGTTCACAGCCAGGGCGACGCAGTTGATGACGATGTCAATGCGATTCCACTTTGTCAACGCTGCGTCAACTAGCTTTTGTGGGGCTTCTATCTTGGACATGTCACCCTCTACGGCAATGGATGGGGACTTTAGGGATGCGATGACCTTGTCTGCTTCCGGTCCAAGCTCGGGAAATGGGTAGTTGACCACGGTATTTGCGCCGCGAGAGGATAACTCTCGCACGATAGCAGCGCCTATTCCAGAGCACGAGCCGCTGACGATGGCGACCTTTCCAGCTAGTGTTTGTTCTGTCATTTTGAATGGTGGGTTGGTAGGTACGGTGTTGGATGAAGTGGTTCAGGTTATTGTATTTGCGCGCACACACCTGGAGACAATTTTGTGATTTGACGGAGTAGATCTTCTAGCAAGGGAGGAAGGTTAATATTCAATATAGAAAACCGCTGATAAGGTTATTCATTTGTGTTTTATGGGCTTCGTGCATCGGGTCGAAGACATGAAGATTCCCCATGGTCGATCCCCACATGCCGACACATTGCGCGTCTCGGGTGCCTTTTCCGCGCCCGATGATAGCAATTACGGATAAGGCAGCGTAAGATGCCCTCAGTCAGCGGGGAAATCACTCTAAAAAATATCCAGATAGAATTGCTTTTCAGAATTCGTCATGTCAACAGTGTCTTGGGATCTGCCTTCGGAGCCATATCGGAAAGTGGACCACGAAGAGATCTTCCAACGGCGAGAGTCAATCGGCCCATACCTGCCACTTCCCCGCATTTGATAATACTTTTTACGCCCATGAGGGAAGGCCCTGAAGGTCCCTCGGGCGCTGCTGAGGGAGTCCATCTCGAAACTAGGGGGCCAGACTGTCGCTGGGTCTTGCGGAGAAGATCAAAAACGCCATGATTGCGCCCTATCTCCGAGATTAGACTATGCGGGAGTCAAGACTATTGAAAGAGGCCTTAGAGCCTTGGCACGGAGCATATCGATGCTCGTCCAGACAGAGCAAGTGATCCTGAGGACTTTTGCATGGGGACAAAGTGGATAATTGCAGAGTTTGCGCAGATAAGTGTTTGCATTCAATTATTGCATCAAAACACGAATTGCGTACTCATTGTGAGTACAGGCTTCTGCTTTACATTACCAGGCCCCTGATTGGCGCGGAACTGGATCAGGCCAACGCAACAGTCTCATCTCTTCGCGAAGGACTAACCCTAGAGTCGCTTCCAGAAGGTGGGACCCAGGCGTTGGCCTAATTACTAATTCGAGACCCGCTGGGGCACTACACTGAGTGGATTCTCATTCTAGAGCAAAGACCCAAAAAAAAAAAAAAAAAAAAACAAAAACAAAAAAAAGGCGTCACCAGGAAAGAAAAAACACTAGTTGCATCTCCGCTTCCATCCCTTCTCCACGCTACACTCTCTACATTACACAATGGCAGGCCTTGTATCTGAGCCTGGATGTATCCAAGCTCGGCATATCGGAGATATCGTATGAAAGGAGGTCGGGATTAACAGAATGCAAACGGTGGATCTACCAAAGGAGTCCACACGGGACGGAGGCGAAACCTAGGAAGGGCCGACCAAAGAGTGGAACCGATCTAGACATCTAGCATCGATGGCCGCCAATCATAGCCGGGCAGAGCGTCGATCGTGAATTCCATCCAATCACACGGAGTGTAATGGTCAGCACTTCCGCTATATCCAATAGTAACGGCTCGATTTGTGAGTTTTGTGAGATTTGGGCTGCATCACTGCTGCACTGGGACGCGTCGGAAGTCTTTTGCGTTGCTCAAGACCGGTCCTTGCTGACTTTTGGAAGCCTTCTGATTGGTGCCGGGGCCACTCCTTGACGGATGCATCGCTGATTTTTCGCCTGCCTTCCCTAACTGATGGGGCTCGCTGCTGGTCTAGCTGCTTGTTGGCGGAGACGGTGGTGGTGGATGGAGTTATAAGGGGGGAGCTGGTCTTGGGTTCGGTGATGGTCGAAGATTTTCATTGATCGTCACTTCGCCTTACTTTTCTTTCTAACGGTTGTTCCATCACTCTTTAACATACTTGGATATCCTGTCTTGCAAACGGCTATTGCTCAACTTGGCCTGTCGCCCCTGGTCTTCTTTCCATCTGATCTGCATCAACTCGTATAGAGGGAACACTTCCTGACGTCAGTTGTGCTTGCCACTGCACAAAGACCCCGGAACCGTAGCCTGCATATCATCGAGAACCATGGCCCTTCTCTTCCTCAAGCGGAAGCTGTTTCCAGCTCAGGAATCAAAAATATCGAGTAAGTAGCAAGAGCAAGGTATGGACGAAAGCAGCTACTAATGCAGTAAGAATCAGGCAAGCCTCTTCTAGCTCGCATCGACGACGACGATACCATCCGCGGCGACTTGGACCACGACATCGAGTCCCAGAGCGGTCGTTCCTATGACACCTTTGGACGCTGCATCAGCAATGACGGATCTACCGTAGGAAGCAGCAGTAGCAGCAGCAGCAGTACACGCGCACGCATAAACCCGCGTATCATCTCAGATGCCATTCTCGGGTTATCAGACGGATTGACAGTCCCCTTCGCCCTGAGCGCGGGCCTGTCCGCTCTTGGAAACACAAAGGTGGTCGTGCTGGGTGGTCTGGCCGAATTGGCAGCCGGCGCCATCTCCATGGGGTTGGGTGGATATGTCGGAGCAAAGAGTGAAGCGTAAGTTCCCCCCGGTTCCATCCATCGCCTCGGACACATCCTCTAACAAAAAATGCAGCGAATCATACCAAGCCACAGTCCGTGAAACACAAGCCTTGATTGAGGGCGACTCGCAAGAAACACAGGATATGGTCCGTGAGACTTTCGCGCCCTACGGACTCTCCAGCACCGCCATTGAGGATATCACACGCGACCTGCACGCCTCGCATGAGCGATTGTTGGAGTTCCTGTTGACCTTCCACCACCGCGAGTCCGCACCCGACTGTAACCAGGCCTGGATCTCGGCGGTCACACTTGCTCTGGGTTACTTCGTTGGTGGTTTCATCCCTCTCATTCCCTACTTCATCGTGTCTCAGGTCATGACGGCCCTGTACTGGAGTATCGGTGTGATGGGAGTCACCTTGTTCGCATTTGGTTACATCAAGACCTGCGTTGTGCGCGGGTGGGATGGACGGGATAACATCATTGCGGGTATCTGGGGAGGTGTCCAAATGTGCTTCGTTGGAGGTGTTGCTGCTGGTGCTGCTATTGGCCTCGTGCAGCTGATTGACACCGGCGGTGCCAACTAGGCGAGTTCAGCGGCATTTGTCATTTGATTTCATTTCCTGCGCAAAAGCATCGGAGTCTTGGTTGTTTTCTCTACTCATAACGATCGGACAAACTCATATCTGGCGTCTATCAGCGATCCTTGCTCTCTGGCAAGATGATTCATCAATGCATTCCATTCATGTATGAACTAACTAGACATACCTCTCCATTCAATTCTGCATTATACAATACCCCTCAATATAATGTGTAATATGTATATTAACCCCAATCCGTACATCAACCAGACAAAGCCCTCGTCACCAAAGCCGTTGCCCTCTCCGACAGATCTAACTTCAACGCCTCCGCATGTCCAACCTCGGACATCTTTCCCCACGTCTTCCTCAAAATATCAACCATCTTCTCCTCATCCCCAAGCTCCTTCTCAAACTTGTCAAACTGATCATCCAGAAAAACCAAACACGCCACATCCTCCAGCGTCTGCGTATCCGGATCCCCTTTCTTAAGATCCGCTTTGCGCACCATGGCACCAACCTGTGCCGCCTCTTCAGCGCTATACCCGCTCGCTAAACACATATTCTCGACGAGCTCCGCTTGCCGCTTTTGTAGCCCGGAGCGCCAGGAGTGGTACCCGATTTTAGTGGCGGGGTACGAGCTCCGGGGGACTTCCCAGCGGCGGAGATGCTGGGCGCGGATGGCGAGGCGGAGGAGCTCGGAGGCGTTTGGGTTGATGCGGTCGAGGTAAAAGGTCATTTGTTGCGCGTAGTGAAGTTCGTAGGGTATTGTAGTATTGTTGGACTCGATGTGGTTGGGGTCGTCGCTGTGCGCGGAGTCGATGCGCTCTAGCGCGCGAGAGTATTTTGACATGGCGGGGGGGGGGTGGAGGGGGTTCTGAATTGGATGAATTGTATTTGGTCTATACAATTGATGCTTGGCGCTTGAGACTGGAGGGTTCTTTATCGAAGAGAGAGATATCTGGAGAGTCGGGAAGATGTTCAAATCCCGATAAGATGCGGCGGGGTGGTAACAGGCGGTCCCTGATTGGTCCCCGTCAGGAGAAGTATAACTTGTCTCTACGAGCTCAGTGCCCTGGCCTCGTTTTGGTGATGAGCCTCTTGGGTTCAGTGCATGTTGGTTATCGCAAATGGGTGGAATACAATCAAAACTCCAATTTTTCCCTGTCACTCCTGTGAATTGCCTACCATCTCTATGTTTCACTTTGAACCTCGGGCTTTGCGGTCTGGTTTGGTGCCTGTGCGCCTGGTACAAAGCTTAATTACGCTTTAATTTCATTTCGGTGCCGGTCGTGGATTTCATTCTGGGTTGCACAGTGGAGTGTTTAGTTTGATCAAAGATCCGATGGTTCGACCATAGCCTTCACGCAAGCTTCCTGCTTCGATGGCCGAATATGCAAGATAGACTTAATGTTCCATCATGTGATGGCAGGGTCCAACAGTAGGTTGCGAAGGTAGGCACACCCCTCCGCTCTATGCCCAATCCAGTAGGATGACTGCATGAAGGGAGATTCAGCTGCCCCACTGCCGCCTTACTGACTGGACAGCCCTGGGAGATGGTCGGAGGTCATTCAGGCCCAGAGGTTGCCATTCTCCAATCACGGCGGATATCACCGCATCCTACCCTACCTTAGCGCGTGGGCAACACGGCACAGGGTCTGAGATCGCATTCAGCCCTGTCAACAAGCGCTAAGATTGGCCGCGCCACGGACCCCCGCCATGTAGCCCTTGGATTTTTAAAAATGCTTGATTGTCTTCCCCCTTTGACGCTGGAAAGATAGATTGCTGGATCTCTTTCCCGGGCTGTGTTTGCGATGGCCAACCACACTCTTCTTTCGCTATGTGGCGACCCGAAATTTGTCTTTCAGTCCTTTGGGAATCTCGGCAACTGCTATAACGCAATCGGGGACACGTCAGGGTCTGACTTTACTAAAGTCGTGGAAACATGCCTGACCGATTACTGCAAGGACCCGTATCCTAATCTAGGAGGCTGTGGGAACTGGCAAGACACCGCGTCCCTTTCATTTGTTGTCAACACCACGAGGGACAACCAGTACTTCTTCAACAACGCTACCTGCGCCGGAGTCAGTAACGGGGTCAATACGGACATTGGAGGACCTGGCGTGCGTGATTCCAACTTTGATCCACACAGAGAATATCCGTGTTAACATACACCCAATAGGTCTTTGTCTCCTACTTGATGCAACTGGGACTTATCTTCTATTTCTGGATCCTCCTCCGCGCATTCCGCCTTTGCCAACTCCTAATAGCCTTTTGCACTAGGAGAAAGCAGCGTCGCGGAGCACCATCTACAAAACAAGCCGGAGGGACCATCATCCCCAGAATTCGTCATTTTCTCAACCAGCACGACCGCATCGCAAGGGTGATCCTCGTCGAGTTCCAAGAAGCCCAATGCTTCTTCATGATGGCCTCGCAAGCCGCAATCCTGCTCGCTAAGAAGTCAAGTTCCATCTTCGAATCCAACACCATGCCCTCCCTCTGGGCAAACAACGGGATCGCAGGGATAGTTTCTAGCGCCGGGATCTTGCCGGTTGTCATGGGCATGTGGAGTCTCCACAAGATGCACACAGCAGAGCCCTGGATTTTTGCCTTGTCTGTTGCGAGCGTCATCGTGTCGGAAGTCGCGCTGTACTGGGCGCATGAGACTCCATCGGTGGATCAACTTAGTGCGTTTGACTATGACAGATGGCCGCAGAGCTGTGGTGGGTATGCGCCGCCATTGATCTACTGTACGGATCAGAAGGAGAATTACTACCTAAGGGTTCCGCTCGCCTTTGTCTGGCAGGTGCTCAATCCGTATTGTTTGGCTGTGTTTGTGCTGAATGCCATCTTCTGGGCTTGGCCGTATGTCGTCATGCTGGTGGATAGTGAGGGGCTTTGTCAAAGGACTTTCGTTCGTCTCGGTCTCCGCAGTTTCCAGTCAAAAGTTCGACGACTACTCGCTTCGACTTGGGGCATCTGGATCAACAGGCTACCCAGTCTGCTCACATTCGGTGTGGAATCGCTCTTTCTCGTGGCTGTCGTTCTAGAGGCTGTGTGTTTTGGCGAGTTTGAATACCTCAAGGTGATCGACTTTTCGGCCTGGGGGTTTGGTCAGATTGTGGCAATGACCATCTGGTTCCCCGTGGTCAGCAAATATGCCTATCTTGTCTTTTGTGAGTCGTACACTATGCCCGGATCTTCAGGTGACATTTTCTAATTGTCCTCATAGTTGGCACCGAGTCTTACTCACGCGCTCGCATGCCGGAGTCTGATGACACTGAAAAGGATAAAAAGGAAACTAACATAAACGCCAATGATGTTGAAACACCCCCTCTGCAGTCCTCCGATGTTATCGAGCACAAAGCCCAAGACGGGCATGAAGCGGGCCAGCGATGAAGCTAATAGTGGTGGGGGGGGGGGGGGGGGGGGGGGTTGAACCCTATTTTGGAGAGTGTCATTTGAGAGGCAACTACAATCATGAACGCCATAAGCGATCTAACGCACGTAATGGAATAACGAAAGCTGCAAATAGCAAGTCGGAAAACGACGAATTAACTATCTTGCAATAATATATACGAACCGCAACGAAGTGTTTTCTTTCCCATGTCTTGCATCCAAGAGTACGGTAGTATTGGGGTTTTTTATGAATACAAGATGCATCCTATCTAAATAAAATCCTTCCTACCCTTCGATTGGTGAGGATCTACGTGAGACTATTAACAGAATTCAACTGTGGTCAATTAATACAGTAGTTTTCGAATTCAGTTTGACCTCACTTTTGTCACTTGATTCCCGAAAAATAAATCCGCCGTGGGCGAGTTCTGATATATTAAACTACGCGCCTAAATTAAGACCGCTTCCCATAATAGTTCGTGTATTTTACGATATATTTTCAGCACCATGAGGGCAGGGGCAGCCTGTCCTTAAGCAATAGCCACTGGCCCTTCTAGGTCCAGCGTTCAGTTTACCTTATAATCTACTATATATTGTATTACACGCACGTGAAAGCTTCTACCTCGCTTACCTACCTAAACATAGAGACTGCTGCGTGGTCTCATAGATAGTCAGAAGAGAGTGAAAGGTCTGTCATTTCTACTCAATGTCTCGCGCATATTCATAGACAGAAAGTACTTAAAGTCACATGAAACAGAATCAGATGAAAATGGAATAGATTAAACGGGGTAAATCAGTCTTTTCGTCTGATGACAGAAGGGTAACTTGTAAGATTCAACCTTCTTATGTTGAAATAAGAGGATAGAGCGCATACTCAACTTATATATCGACTGACCCAGTTCATATGATATAAAACGCTCAGCAATTCACCGACTGACCCATTTAGTCTGGTAACTAGGCCTATTACCTATATAGCATTGATATATATTCCAGCAAGCAAGGTCTAGAGTCACTTAGCCCCTCCCCTTGAAATCAGAGACCAATTTCGCATCCGCCACAGCTCTTTTATGCCCAGTGCAACTTGTCCATCCGTTAATAGTAGCTGGCGTCGGTCTCTCCATCTTCCTTTGGCATGTCGATAGCCTTCGAGCAGAGTTTAGGGTGGCACACGCCAGTAGCATTAGTCACCGGTTGGTCACACTCGTTGTCAACCCTGTAATGGTGGCATAACCGACAGTTGCCATTTGACTGCCGTATACAGTCCTAATTGGAGTAACAGCCAAAATCGTAGCAGAATAAATTAACCCGCTTCGTGAGTGTTTTTTTCCAAATCGTAGGTCACTAGCCAATCGCCGGCGGACTCATGCTCGGGCACTTTGAGCTCTGGTTTGCGCCTATTTATTCCCTTTGCAAATAACACCCTGGCATAGGGGGGGGTGGGGTGGGTCGAACACGAATGTCGTTTCGCCGGTCACAGAGTTTTTCAATTCCGCCGTAGCTGAAATCCCATCTATAGCGATGTACTCCTCCGGTTTCGGTACAGTTGCCCTCTCGATTTGTTCCTTCACGTGCTTTGCAGTCTCAGCATCGAAGCGGGTGTCGATGAAGTATAACTTGTCTGGGCGGGCCGCCGCCACGTATGGAGTATCCGCGCCACAACCTAGAGGTTATATCCTATTTTGATAACTGTTGGTACGTAGTTGCCCCTATATTCTTCTTGAAAGGTTGGCGAGCCCTCGCACGATCGGAACGGATTCAGAAGCATGGTGATTCAAAGTAGAAAGAGCATTGTCGCACAGGGACAAGTTGACTATGCAGGCCAATTTCGTGATTAGCTGAGCCTAGACTGCGGCAAGAACCGCAGTCTAGTTTGGGGTCTTGGGCATGGACCCGCCCCATGGGTATGGGTCCTGAAGTCGTACCCATACTCGACCCAAAGCGAGGTCTATTCGTCACGGTCTGGTCAATGGTCGAGTTTCTCCCGGGGTGGCTCAGCGACCAAAACGTCGGTATACCGCGAGGAAGACATCTTCGTAGGTCGTATGTATAGAAGAAGTCGATCAACTCGCTAGCGTCTTCAATAATTTGAGGTTGAATGTGGTTTCCTCCCCATGCCGGATGGTGGCGGTTGAAGTCCCCGGACAGTATAAGACCCGTGACTCTGGAGCTATTTCGGAGGGTATCTTGCATAGTATCTTAGATAGCCACCAGTATAGTTATCGCCGATGCTTCGTCGGGCGTGTGCATCGGTACCGGTGGGATATAGACGGAGAAAATTAGAACCTAGGTGTCGGCGGACCAGATCTTGACCGCCGTCAGATCGGGGCGGTTGCATGGCATTTGTCGATGCGAGGATGTGGACAGTCTCCGGTTGACATAAATTAGGCTTCGAATGCGCACCTCGGTGTTTCCCACCGTCGGTCGGTATAGTCGCCACGCACTGTGATTGACATGGGTTCGGTACGCAGTGATGGATGGTTCTTGGATGAGCAACACGTCCAGGTCTTGGCTCTGGTGGTCGTTCATGAGGGCTTCCATTCCTGCCCTCGACTTCATGGTGTTCAGCTGTAAAAGATGAAGATTTTTCTCTAACATCGCAGGGATGGTATGGGCTCTAAGGAGACACAGCATTAGCTAAGGCATGTATAGTTAGATTAGTGATAGTTGCCCTTTCGGTTCAGCCGCCGTGCGTTAATAAATTGTTTGTGTGTACTGTATTATCTAGAGATAGGACATCGTCTTTTGGACAGGTGGCTTGAAGTGGTTCTAATACTATTTGATATAGACAACGGTACTAGGTATAAAGCATACTACGCCTTAGACAGAATGGGTGGATTATAGACCTATGAGAAAAGTATCGGCTTGAGATGACACCGAGACTATCGGAACACCTTGGACCATAATTTGCCAAGAAGCCAAGACCTGCCAAAGCGGAGCATGGGAAGGGGCTGTTACGAGGCATTCCCTAAACTTGAGAAATGGAGATTTATAATAAGCAAATACCTGCCCTATTGGCTGGCTAGCCGTCGGGCGTAATCGATTTGTATGTACTGTAACTACTTCCCCATAATGTCATGAAACTTGAGGATGATTGCTTCTTTCTCCTTGTTTGTAGTCTGGCCCCGTTGGCTAAGGTATTTTCCTTCCAAAAGTCGACGATTCCTCAACTTCCTGCCGGTCCGCCGTCGAAAGAGCTTCGAAATACTCCGAGATATGCCTATGGCCGGATACGCGTAAAGACCTATCGAGGCTGGATACCACAGTTAGCGAATGCCGTTATGGTTCCCAGATAGAAACTGACAGGACAAAATCTTTGCGATAAATTCAAGGATCCCGAAGAGGAGTCCGGTGAAGAATCCCAGTACCCCTGAATAGTAAGCTCCCTCATACGGGTGCATAACTAAGCCGCAAATCGCATCTATGTATCCGAACCAAAAGCACTTCCCCGCGAACTTGAACCCATCTGTCCAGTTTCTTAATTGCCCGTAATTAACTCTTTCCTTTCCCCAGAGTTGTGGTGCGCCACGCAGTCCCTCGACCAGAGCAAAGGCGAAGTCAACCATGCCGCCTTTGAAGCAGTAGAGAGGTGACAAGGCGACGAACTCGACCACGGCCATCAGGAATGATAGTATGACAAGAAACACGTTCTTGACAGCGCGCAAGCCCTTTTTTTTCTTACTTTGTTTTGGTATCAAGGATTCTTCGTCGTGGGGCTGTGATTTCCCATGGCCCGAGCGACTAAGTGGGCGGACTGGTATGTCTTCGCTTGAGGCCGTTTCCACTCTTTCTCTGCTGCGCCAGGTACGTACTGGTTTGAGACCCATGTTGAATAGTAACGTGAACAGCGTAATGATTGTACGAATCAGAGCGGCGGTGGGTCCATACAAGGGCCCGACTCTCCGGCTCTCAACGTCGATTTTGCAAGACTTGTATCTTCAACCACGTCAGCATTACAATCACAGGCGTCAGGGTCATAATCCACTATGGTTGGATACTCACAGCTTCAGATGCTTCTCTTGGAGTGACCCGTTTTGAATGAGCATCTCCGCCGCAACAACAGAGAGTTTGACACGATGACCGCCTCTGCGGTAGGTCCACGCGGCTGAACGATCCCCGAGTAAATCACACTGCATAATTTTGTGTGGTAGATGAGTATTAAACGATAAAGCAGCAGCATCAACACCAGACTCGTCTCTTATCCTGTCTGATATAATCTTGGCGGCTTTCGTCGTATCGGGGCTTAAGCAAAATCTGATACCATCGCTTAGATTGTCCTTATTCAGTTGCGTATGGTGAATTGGTCTTGGCCCTGCGCCTGCAGAAGCGATGGATTCCCCCCAGAAAGGCTGACTGACGAGAAATTAGTTTACAGTCATTGATCTCCCATGAGCTACTCACTCGCCAAAGAAGGGCACAACGAGTGTGGGGCACCCATTGCGGAGGCCACATGCCGCTGTTCCTGCACCACCGTGGTGTATTACAGCTGCGACATGTTGGAAGAGCCACTCGTGAGGGCAGTCATCAATGTAAATCACACCGTCAACCGGCGGGCCTCCGAGGTTGCTCCAGCCTCTAGATATGACTGCACGAACGCTCGTCGCCTGAACCGCGTCGAGGATAATGCGTGTCATGCACTCGGGGTTGTCTATGACGATGCTGCCGAAGCCTATGTAAACCGGTGCCGGTCCGCTGGAGAGGAAAGCGTCTAAGTCGGAAGGGGGTGTGAAGTCTGGAGGTTCCCGGAATATGAACCCAGAAATATCTTGACTTATTAGCTGCTTCCTAGAATCTCATACAAATGCAGCAGACTTACCAATGTGGGCCGGCCAGTCCGATGGCTTGGGTATCAAGAAACGTGACCAGCAGTAAGTGACTGGGACAGCAAGCTCTGTAATAAGATTGGGGCCTGCCGATGAAGGAATACGCTCAAGGTCGAGCGATCTTCTGAAGCTGTTGATGACATCGTGAAGTCTAATAGAAGTTAGCATCAGTGCAAACAGAGCTATGCAAAGCTGTTACCCTTGCCATGTCATCCACTCGACAATACTGTACGACATGAAGTTGGCAGTTTCTCTACTTGTGACGTTGTAACGTGTTATATTAGCGAGAGGATGCGGAAACGCCTTGGTGTTGGTCCAAGGCATAGTAAACACCATATGAAGGGGGATGCCTGCAGCTTCAGCACAATGGATGTGAGCGAAGCTGGGGGGATTCGCGATGATGGCGTCTGCGACAAACGGCTTCCCAGTGACTGGGTCGCGGTCAACACAAGACCTCCAGAAGCGCTGAAGCATACCTGCAATCATAGCCCGATTTCTTTGAACGTCTCCCTTGAGCAGGCTCGTCATACTGGGCAAGAGACCCGGGTTCTTGACCATATAAGCCATCAGATCCGCCGGATCGCCTCCGACCGGAAAGAAGTCGATGCCAGACGCGCGCGTCGAGTCGGCAAATAAGTCGTGAGACGCAAGGCGGATGCGATGGCCATCCTTTAGCATCCTGCTACCCAAAGCAATAAACGGTTGGACATCACCGCGGCTTCCGACGCAATGGATGACGATATTGAGTTTTAGCTTTGGGCGGCTTTTGATAGGTGTTGATTGGGATGCGGATGTTGGTAGCAATGTCGTGCATGTTTGAATCTTTGTCAATACAGAAAATTGCTTTTGCAGGACGGTGCCGATATCAATGGTAATACGGCCATCGGCTTGTAGAGGATTAGCGTTTGACAGCTGCTCTCTTGCACACCCACGCGGTTAAACCAACAACTCACCAGTTACGCCAACACTGTCGCGCACAACCCGGCTGGACATTGTGTTAGATACAATTATCTTTAGGCTGGAGAAGCTTGATATGAAAATTTCGTTGGTGGTGGCCATGACTTGTATGTCTAGGTGCGCTCGATTATTTCCTAATACGGCGGTGTCCACTTTTTTCTCGATGCCAGTAAGTTAGAGTCGGAGGGCCGAAATACAACCTTTTTGGAGGATGCTCCATTTCGTTGCGTTGTTGCTAGTGACCATGGCTCGTATTTTCACGTACGCTCGATTGTTTCTTAATTTGGCGGTGCCCACTTCGTTTTGGATGTTAGCAAGGCAAGAGCGGAAGTCGCTCGCAAACACGCCTAGGGCTGACGGCGCCCGGAACGAAAAGTTAATCGCCCGGCCGCGACGTCCTCGATCAACGAGAGCTTGGACCGATTGTCCTTGGTCTTCGGTCATTCGGAGTTACCAGAGTTTATTCACTGCGACGAGTGGAATTGTATCATCAATCTTCTCACATCAAGCTGCGCCGCGGCCCGTATCCTTCTCCATTAGCTCTGCCACTATGCAACCGGCCGAGATGAGCGGAACAATGCCAGAGCAATCATACGCCATCCTACCAGTCGCGGGAAAGGGTACCAAGGAAACGAAAACCATTACCAGCACGACCATCCAGGCGACCTCCAAATTGGAAGGAGAGCCTGCCGCTGCCGCTGTTGCCCCTTTCGCCAATGGGTATCATTCCCCGCCAAAACACACCTTTGGACAATCGATGAAGCTAGAATGTATAGCCTTCTGGAACTACTTCCTGGCGCCCTTGGGGTTCGTCATCACCATCTACGGTCTCAATGTGGTGGCATGGGGTGGAATGCTATTCCTTTTACAGTGCAACGCTTGTGAGTGTCTCTCGGCAGTTGACGCGAAGCTTTGTCTAACGTAACTTTCAGTGCCAGCTATGTGTCACCCAACATGCCACAATATTAACTCGCTAAGGCGGATATGAACTGAAATCGACTCGCAGATTCTGAATGCGCTCTTCTGCGTAACAGGCTTCGGACTCGCAACTTGGCGTTTTCGAGACCTGTATCTTTTGCTACAATACCGGCTGCTGCACAAGCCGGTAGCCCTACGTCGTCTTGCAGGTACTCACAGAGGATGGTTCCGGCTGGAAGGCTCCACAGATCTTCCTGTGAACTTGGGACCAACGAATATTGACGAGCAGCCGTCACAGGCCGTGCCTCGCTCAGCCATTCCTTTCCCGGAGAAGACGATTCCCAACGCCCCTCTGACTGGAGTGCGGGCTCGTCCAACCATGCTGTGGAAGCTCGACCTGGCCATCTGGTTCATGGTGTGGAACACATTCCTGCAATGCTGTCTCTCTGGCTTCATGTGGGCCTTGAATAGGTACGACCGACTCAGCTGGTCTACGGGTCTCTTCGTAGTGCTACCCTGCATTGTCGCAGCCATTGGAGGTCTCATAATGCTCATTGAGAGAAATACAGTCAAGAGCGTCGAAGGTGTGCCGGTCAGCCAAAAGGGCCGGGAGCGGCTGGAGCAGGACCTGGAACATGGCATTTGGAGCCGCAACAATATCAAGGACGAGCACTTAGAGTCTAAGAAGAAGAAAGAGGAGGAAAATAAGAGGAAAAGTGAGCTGTGAGGCGCCTCAATCTGGCAAGGAGAACCGTAATGCAAAAGGTGCAGCGGCCCAGCAGTCATACTGCTGGAGCTTGTAGTGGAATCGTTTTTCTGTCGATGCTCATCGAGGAATTGAACGGTAACGGCGTTTTCTGAGCGCGTGACGAGTTTATCTGGCCTTGGTGAACAAGCGGGAATGCGAGCCGTGACGTGTCCTTCACGGCTTGGACTTTCGCAAACAAGTCCACAGGCTCTTCATCCGATAGCATGAAAAGGTTGTTCTGGAAGCGTGCTGAATGCAATCTCCGGATTTGCGCGGCCTTGCCCGCAGACATACAAAAAAATCAACTGTCTTCCCCGACAAAGGATGGAATATCTAGCACCTTGCTTGGAGCGATGACCTGGTTTTGGATACGACTCAATTCAATGATCACGCATGTAGTTATGCCACATAACAGCTGGAAATCTAGGCTCAGAAAGCCTGTCAGATGAAACTGTAAATAATTGGAAAATTTAGTCAATTCTAAATATTTATAGGGCATAAAAGGCCAATGGCCCCGGTGATCCTTTGGCACCACGATGGCCAAGCAACTGTCTGATTTCCAGGGGAATGACGACAAGTACACCAAGCTCCTTGAATCCCTCAGCGCCCACAAGAGCTCGAACCACAGGAACAGGATTCACAATATCTCAAACTTGTGTTTAATTCTCCCTAGTTGCTTCCTCCAACTTGTAATGCCAAAATTCCTGCAAATCGACTTCGATTCTATCCGAAACGATGAAGCCTTTTTGCCCTATTTCGCGAATAGTGCCCAATACTTCCTCCTGGGCACGACTCTCAAAAACGTGGGCTCCGGCCATTCGCAAAGGAAATAACAAGAGAACTCCCGGGATGAATGTATCCGAGAGAAGACTTTGAGACAGACCCAAAATTGTGGCGACATGTTTATCGACCTCACTTTGGTTAAGCTGAGGAATTGTCCGTGTCATCCAGCATGAATGAAAAGTAAAATTCCTGCAATGATATAAAAGAAGAGCGCGGTAAACGATGACGGCCAATTTGGTAAAAGGGTCCGCCGGTAACATTTTCAAATAGCTTCCTTCTTGCCAATTGAGAACCCTTTCTTTGATCTCGAGACCTTCTAGGGCAAGAGAGTCCAATCCGGGATCAGAGGATCTCAATTTTTGAGGAACGCTCTTAACTTTGTCAAAAAGCCTAAAAGGGTTAGCGGCATCCATCAATCAAGTTAGTAAAAGTGACTTGCCTTTTAGCAAATGCGGAAGTTTGTGTCATAAGAATGAGAATTTTCTTCATGGAATCTGGCCAGCTTTCTCGCGTCGAACTCCACTGCCATTTGTCTGGAGAAACTAATATATTGTCGCCATAAAGAATGGCTCTGTTGTTCTCAAGAACCCAGAAAGCATCGATCAAACTCCTTGTGGGTAACGAAAGCGGATCTGTAGGTTTCAACATGAGCAGCATTTTGGATGTACCAAAAGCCATGTGTTTTGCGAATGAATCGGCAGACTTTTCTGCCATCAGCTGTGTAGATGATTAGTGGAGTTTCCGATTTTGTAATTATATAATCATACCTCAAAAAGACCATGGAGAAATGTGCTCCAAAACACGTCATCTCTAAAGACTGGATTTTCCGTCGAGATTGCCGAATGCAGATCTTGAATTGATCTACCACAAGCCCGGAATGCAATATGCCTAGGAGACTCAAGCTCACCAAATGATCTGATAGAGCCTTTCCTACTGGCGTCCAAAGCTCCGATTGCGATAGCGATGTGCCAAAGCAGAGGGTATTTGCCAATGATCGTGACTATGTCTGCATTTGAAGCGGCAAAATCTTTGCTAAAATGGCATCGCTGAAGGAAGGACGCGAAATGATCCAGATATATGGCGTCATCATGCTTCTTCACTTGCATGGGAATTGCACAAAACAGAACATGTCCCGGCATATGGACGAATTTCACTCCTGTCTGCTCTAGCCGCTGTGGCTCACAACTCTTATTTGTCCGAATGCATCTTTCACAGGGTTTTCCCCCATCACACTGTTCATATCGTGTAAGTTTGACTAATCTCATTGAAGCAGAGTGCTGATTGCTCGCACCTTTACCCGTCGGTTCGCACAAGACTGGCAGCGCGTTGTGTTTTTGCGCTTGTCCAGAGGCCCGATAGTACGTCTAATGATTTTGCTTGGTCGTACACATAGCTCTGCTGTCATTTTTCAAATTGGAGGAAAACATTCAACGGATTAACAGGGGCAGTAAGTCTCTGGTTCGAGCCTGCTGATATTGTCACGTGACCCATACCCTTGCCACAGGCCCAAAGCTACCTGCAGTGGAACCGGGCAAGTACTCGACAAAGTCTTTGAGGTGGCAAGAAAAATCATCTAGTCCGAAAAAACATCAAGGCACAGTACTCAACGCGAGGACAGCGCGTAGATTAATGATAATGTCCTGTATATCAACAAGCTAGTCTTCGAACAAAATGAAAATTAGTTTATCGGACGTCAGGTGATTTACGGCGACATTTATGATTAAGAGTTGTTCTTTGAGACAATTTGGACAGTTATTTAATGTTTACGTCATCGAGAAGACCAGATTCGACACTAATAGATGAAAGAAACCCCACCGCAGCCGTTTTGGCGCGAATGGCTCAACCACGATCCCATGACGTAGAAGCAGCCTAGGCTTGGATGTTGAAGTATTCAGTGATAACTCTGGTGCGCAATCCGGGAGTAAAATAGTCGTACCCAACCACGATATTGCAGTTGCTCACGTAGATTGTGACGGGAACAATTCCCCGGTACATAATATTCCACTGATGATGTTATTTTCGGCTTCAGCACTGGGCCTGGATTTAACACGCTGAACATGGAAAAGGCTACTTACAGCTGCCACAAAGTGCTCATTGAACTGTCGCCGGACCAGTCCGCCAAACACAGCACCATTTTTGACTAGTATATCTTCAGGGAGCAAAGGGAAGTTCGAGTTGACGAATCCTTTCCATATAGTCGGCTCGTTGGTTTTGTGACCAAAGGTGGTCATAGTGTTGTACACCAACCCTTCCTTAGTAGAGTTGGCGTAATTGAAGAAGGACGAGGCCAGACTACCATTGAAGGCTTCATCAACTCGAACGAAATTCTGAGATGGCGAATTATTGATGAAACCAGTCGTGACGTGCGAGAGGTTTTGATTCCTGTTTCTCTGTTAGTTTGACAATAGAATTAGGGCTTGCATCGGTATTTGTCGCCTACCACTTGTGTTGGATAAAGTTGGTCTCGTACTCAGCCTTTATCATAGGAGGATCTGGCTGTTTGAATTCAGAAGAGAATTCGACCATCGAAGAAGGGAAGGGAGGGCAGCTTGGATCTCTCACCGCCAGCGCTCCAGTGGCAAGCAAGACGGAAAGCAGTTGAAGGAAGCGCATGATTCGAGAATGAAAGGTGATGATTGATGAAAGCAGGAGACTTTTGGAAAAGAAAAAGGTTGTGTCTGTTAAGTCCTGTCCCTGGGGCTGTCAGCCACTTTAAGTCTCCTCAAGATTCACATGGACACGCATGCGAGGACTGTTCACATCCAGAAACCGAGTTCATATCTGCTCCATGGCGCGCTCAATAGATACCGTTTTAGGACATCGAGGCTTAGGCAACAACCCGGCTGGTAGGTTTTGCGATGAGCTCAGAGTCATGAGTTTCTGACCATAGCCTGACAGGCCGTAGGCTATGGGTGCGCTCAATCATTGCCTGATTTAGTGCGCTGGCCCGTCCAGTGGAGACGCAACCTCTTTGGTCTGGCCGATGGGAATAACAGCGGCGATTGAGACGAAAGGCTAAAAAGTACAGGGGGTTTCTGACAAACCATATTATTGATCTCCCGACGATAATTTGTAGATCAAAAGTCGCAATACAAGGTTTCCTAACCGCAAGAACTAACACTGAAGTCTCAAGTTAACGTATACATGAAATGCTGGAACCGCCCTACGGCTTTCCCGATGTGGACCTTTTTGTGGGGCGGGTGCATGAAAAGAGAGGCCGCTTAGTCGTTTTTGGAATAACCCCACACGCTCGAATATTTCCCAAAACGGTCAAGTGCCCTCTTGATTCCGAAATATTCAGTCTCGCCGGGCCACCTCACGAGCTTACGAAAGAGCCAATCACAACATACCGTACTTGTTTTAGACATCTGGACTCTTAGCATGACAGCGATAGGCAGGGGAATAGCGGTGCTGCCTCAGAATCGGCGCATGCGAGCCCTAGAACCGTGTCCCCACACAGTCTGTGAACCGTTTTTGCGGTAGATACGGATACGGCCCGTAGGCCCATGAAATAACTACTTATAAGAACGCCCGAGGCATTCAACGAGTTGGTGAAAGAGAGAAAAACTTCCTGTCTATCTCATTCAGACAGGTCGAACTAAAACATCACGATCTTCATGTCGCCCGAGCCCAGCATGAGCTCGCAGTCGGTTGTCCACGAAAGTGACACCAGAAGCAAACAGCGGTACGCGGCTCCCACCAACTTGCATGTTGACATTATCTAACGTAATTCTAGAACGTCTCAGCCCACACGAACGAAAATTCAAGCGAATTTTCAGATCGCTCGCCCTGCGCCAAAATCTTCACTTGGTTTTGCTCCAAAGCTGCTTCTTCAAATCCAACAACTCGCACAAAATGAGCGGCCAGTACCAGTACTGGAAATATGGCAACCACCATTTCACAAGTCAAAATTGACTCGCCACTTTCACCAGAAAGTCAAGATGAGGTCGGGCGATGTTTATGCGACTCTCGACGAGTCGTATATTACTAATTCGACCGGGCGACAAAGAGATTTTTCTAACGCGGAGCAGGATAGTGACGGTGCCAGTCTACAGAAAGATATTGTGGCAGCAATGTGCCATAACGACAATACTACCTCAACAATTTATTTCCGCGATGCGCGATGCAGATGGCAGACCGGCGTAAGCACGGGACCCGCTCAATCGACACCTAATTACCGTTTCACCATCAACGACGAAAACAGAGATATTTCCGACCCAGGCAGAATGATTTTTCAATGGGAAAACCGGAGCAAAGAAGATGCACCGGCCGGTTCGTCGGACGCAGAGCAATTTGTTCTCCTCTTGATTGATCGAAAGGCGCGGCGCAAGTGTCGCATCGCTACTATGACACCGGGTGGATTTAAAATTGTTGTCCGCAAGTCCTCTACGCTCGAGCACTTACAGATGTGTTTTGGCTTAACAGAGCCTATAACGTCTACGATGTTTCAGGATCCTCATGAAGCCTTGGAAGTATGGTTATATACGCAAACCCTTACGTTAGGGGCATGGGTCGCCTATCAGGAAGGATGGCTCAATTACAACCAATAAAAATAAAGAAATTACATCTAGACAAGCAGCATAATGTTGCTTGGCATATTCAGGAAACGAAACCTGGCATGAGACAATAGTCGTATAAGGTGAACTATCAGTCACATTAGACAGGTAAAACCTATTGCAGTAGAAAGCGAAACTCACCGATATAAGTCAGATCTATCTCAAATCTTAAAAGAAATCGAAAGTTCCTTGGGCTCAGAGTAAAGTTAATCAGAAGAGTTGTCCTACCAACCTGATATTTTCGGTCATGCAGAGATATCTAAATGAATTAACAAGGCAGTTTTTTAAGCTATTCAGGGCCAAGAAGGGTGAGCAAGTCTATTTACATTTGATGTACTGACCGCCCATATTGGAAAAAAAACGTTTCCCATCGATTAGCCCCGCTAAGCCAAAACGTATTGTGGACTATCAAATTCTGTTGTCGCAGTTATCTTTTCCCTAAACATCGTCGCTATGGTGCATGGAGCTACTACTGCCAGTATGCTGAATTTTCGATCCGAAGACAAGTACCACAGTGTAGTCTACCAGAACGCCAGGTGCACCAGAGAGTCTATCACATACTCTGGTGACTCTGAGGATTGCAACAACGGATTGGGCAATGGCGGTTCGGGAATCCAACTCTTAGCTTTGGAGAATGGCGGGGAGTTTGTCTTCTATGATTCAACCCGAATGTCCAGATAACGAGCAAGTCGGCAGTTTCATCCACGTAAACCAGACCTGCCTTGGGTGCAAGCCGTTGAACGGAAACCCCGTGTCATTCAAGTTTTTGGGCGCCTAAGGTTTCAGATAGCAGCTACTTTGAGCTGTCCTTTTGGGGAGCGCCCGACCCACAGAGCCTTGCCGAGCAGAACCAGTTGACGGTAACTCTGAATCCTGTTGAACCTTTGCAAACCAAAGGTGTCTTTTGGTCTCGAAATTTTAGGCACAAACACACCGTTAAACAACATGGGCTTCAAGTGAGATTTATTGATCATTGGATTTACAACTCATAGTATGTAGAGATTCGCAGCGAAATATTAATGTGCTATCTACGATGTTCCTCATCGACTTCATGAAATAGGTTGATAAAGAGATTGAGAACAGGAGACATTCCATCTCGCCCAACGCGATAGCGTTTGTGGATACTATCGTCAAGATCGCGAAGGCCAAGATGAACCCGGGAGACGTCGCACAAAGAACGTTGGTGCAAGCATGAGATCAACATGTATATATAGCCAAGCAGAAACAAACATTGGGGTTAAACCATTGGCTAACTTTAGCCAATGCTACAGCATTAGTGGATTGGTTAATGGAAAACCTAATACTTAGATAAGTTTGATACCTGAATATCGTATTTTTACATAGCAAATTCTATTGTATATATACTTCCCAACTTGACCTTTCCCCTCATATATTTCCCTCATATATTGACTTCGTGGGCACTTTCTTTGTGAAACTCGCTGTCAGGAGATTGAGGAAAAGCAGAGTCGATCAACGAGCTAACTCAGTATTCTTGACAGAAGTATTACAAGTAATTTATAGAACATCTTTTCGCGTGACTATGTTTCAATACGATTCAGTACTTCAAACCAAGCCAAATCAAAGGTGAATCAGCGTGTTTCACACAAGGATTCGTGAAAGAATCTCTGTGTGCAAGTGGTGAAACTGATTTCGATCCTCCCTGTAGAGTAGACGTCTTGATGGAATGCCCGAGGCTAAGAGAGCCGCGAATAGAATTGAGGAGACAGGCCGAGGACGCGCTCAACAACGTATCGAGTCTGCTGAGAGGCTCAAATGAAGGTGAGAAAGGTAAGCCAGACACCGTCTTGCGAGCCAAGACAGTACGAGCGGTACTGGACTTCGCCGAGGCGTCACAGAGGTTTCGCAGTCGTGCGTCATAAGGACAGCCAAACAACGGGAACGGCAATGGGCCACGATAGGCCGTGACGAGGCACTAAGGTAATGTCAGGAAGTGGATAACTCTATCTGTACGTACATGGATATATATAGTTGTCGTATCCTGCATATCGTTTTCGAGGGGTCAGGGTAAATGAATTCACACACACACACCCTGTACAGTAGAATTTTTAAGAAATTCACTGTACAGTCATTCTCGAAATCGGCTTGACAGATACACACTTGATAATTGTTGCCTAGCCCCACCGCTAAGTCTTTAGAGCGACTCAATCATTGAGCGTGCTGCATTTAATTGAGGTACATTGTAAAATGTCGCTGGGGAGACTTTTCTTCATCCCTCAGTTTAATGCGGCCCACCCAATAATTGCTCCACGCTAGAGCCTTGGCAGTAGGACTAGGCAACGATTGTCAAGTCTGTCTGTCAAGCCGATTTCGAGAAAGGCTGTATGTAAATGAACGTAAACAGACACAAAGTTTAAGAGCCTAATGATACATTCGCAGATGCCGCAAGAATGACGAGGGTTGTTCCTTCGATGGATGATAGTTTGTCGATGGCCTATATTACTTGAGCGAAAGGTCCCTAATTTGATGGCTGTAGGCTCCTACCAAGCTGCCCAGACGTGAACAGAAAAATGACCTATCAGGTCTATGTTAAAACGAGAGGCTACAAAGCAGGTCTGAGCAGATACACAAGGGCAATTGAACGTACAAAGTAAATAAAATTAAGAAAATTGACAGAAACGACAAAAAGTCAAGACTAAATTTGCCGGTTCCGCCGCAAGCTCAGTACAGTATAATAACTAACTCTCCAGCTCCATAATTCTCAAGCTTTGCTACGTTGTGACTCAGGCTGAGGATATTCGTTTTTCAGGTGTTAGTTACTTCATGTGTAGGATATGACTTCTTGGCCGCTGCGTCACCCGCCCTCACCATCCGATCCTCCAGCGTATGTTATTTATCGTTATTGTCCCCTTCACCCAACCAATATTTACGGTCCGTAGGAACTCTACGCACTATTGCAATTCTAAGCTTGCAGCGGTCCTAACTGCCAAGGCAAACCCATATGGACCTATTTCGACGATGCGAACTTCGCGCGAAATATCTTAAATATATTTATTGCCTATAGCTTCCAGCTTAACCGTACATTGGAGGGACTAGAATAATTGGATATCTCTGTGACTAATAGTTACTCTAAGTGGTTTACAGATAAAGACTAACTATTATATATCAGTTTATCCTACACCGATTTTTGGCGGAGCTATTATGCTAATAATAGGGCCACGGTATGTCATAATACACCACTATTTACCTATTATTAGTTGTTGGACAATAAGGGCGGTGATACCACGAAGCCGTTCGTGGCGCCAACTAGGCTTTGCGTACCCCCTTAATGCCTTATATCGTTTTATCCAACTGGTCGATCCAAATTGGACAAAGGAAGACTCTTAGGATAGACTACACACTGATGTAGCCTAAACGAGAACAATTCACCCTTTAACTCGTAGAGGAATGATCACACTGACTAAGGGTTGTTTTTACCCTTTCGTATGTAAGATAAGCAAGAATGGAACTTGGGCAGTTTCCAAAGAGAGTGAAAGGTCTGATTCTTCTACCTGGTAATCCATCGCGTATTTATAGACATACCTCGGTATCACATACTTCAGACCAAAGGAAATACCTCAAATAGAAGGGATAGAACTGAATAGAAGCATATAGACCATAGACAATCATGTCATAGGCTAGGCATGGTAAACGCAGATCAAGCGGGGTAGAAGCAGATAGAACAGCATAGAAAAGAGTCAAGAAGGCGGCATCGACCACCTATATGCACCCCCTAGCGCGAGTGCCTTTTACCCCTAAGGGAAAGGCTATCCACCCCCGAGGAGACTGGTCCCCCCTACTCTTCTAGGGCCAAGGTCCATTTTAGTCACGTGACCACTAACCATCTTCCTCGCGCTAGGATATATAATAAATATCAAACTCGGGTTTAGGGTTCCCTAGCCTAAACCTAGCTTGTCCTCTTTTATGTTGAATAATAAGAGGATAGATCCACTTATATTGAGATTCTGGAGGTGGAAAGGTGTGTATTGCTAAGTAAGTGTACGAAAGGATAGAAATATCATATGCCTTAAGGGCGGTGCCGTATGGCAGAAAAAGTAGGGTAACGTGACCGTTCGTATCCCCATACAAGGCCGTGTTATCACAATATATATTGGTCGATATTCCAACATAGTATATTCATGCTTTACCCAATTTAAAATAGAAGATAAACAGCTTGAACTAGCCCGGATCCTTGAGGTCCCTAAAGAGGGTGAAAATAAGCAGATTTCAGCTAGTATAGAAGGTATTAATCCTATTAGTGACACTAAGGAAGGTGACGGGGAAGCGAGGGTATCTATACGGGCAGGGAAGAGACGAAATAGTGTTTTAACTGATCATGAGAGTAAAGAAAGTGATAATAATAGTGGTATACCCTTAATAAGTCAAACACGTCACTCTGGAAGGGCAAGGAAGGTACCAAAGATCTATGATGGGTTCGAAATTAGTAAATAATACTTTGTTTTGGCTCTTTTCTATCTTATCTTTCAAGCTTAATTAAAGACTTGCCAGGTGGGGATGGAGATTTAATCCGTTGGAAGATAGAAGTCCCATGCATGCTTAATTGAAGTTACTCCGATGTCTATAGATTATTTAAGATGTCATAGCCTTCGTGATCCTTTCCAGTCCCAACAAGCCCTGAAATATAAGAACGCTTGCTTTCCATGACGAAAAAAAATGAACAAAAGGAAGACGTGAAAAGAAAACCCGTGAAACAAGCGGGAAACAATAAATGAAAGCACAGACCAGACAAACGGAAAAGAAGCCATTCAATTCGACTGTTCACTATTTTGACGTTCCTTGGACTCAACATAAATCTGCTTAGACTCCAAATCTGAAGCAACCTGCTTCAACCCCTGCTTTGAAGAAAAAGCCTGGTTGAGAGTATACCCTTTGGTAAGCAGACCCGTGATCAGTCCCAGGGCCGATACACCACACATCACAGCCCAGATTATCATCAAAGACTTGGCGTACAAGCTCTCAATCAGCTCGCGCTCCTCGCTATTCTTGGGAAGAGTCTTGATATATTGCACAAGATTCGATGCATCCTGGGCAAAGGCTTCGGCAGTCTGCCCAAGAGATGGATGGTTGCTGAACTCGGCCTTGATGCGGTTCTGGAAGACCACGCCGCCGATGGCGACGCCGACGGCTTGGCCGAGGACTCGGAAGAAAGGGCTCATGGTGACAGACATGGTGAGGTATTTCGGGTCAGCGGCGGCTTGCACGGCTAGCATGACAGAAGGGTATAGAAGACCCAGACCAACACCGCAGACTAGATTGATAAATATCCATTTGGGGATACTGGTGCTTGCGTCTAGAAGGCAGAGAAGTCCCAATCCCAAGATAGAGATGGGCCAGCCGCTCCACAAGGCCCAGCGGTAGCCGCCGACTTTAGCTGCAACGATGCCGGTGATCACGGAGATGGGGGCCACGGTGAACGATTCTGGGAAAACGGCGACACCGGCGATGACGGGGCTGTAGCCTAGCACACCTTCGTAGTAGAGGGGGATGTAGTAGACGATAGCCCAGAGGATGATACCGTGGAGGAAAGTGCCGACGTAGCTGACTGACATGGTCATGTTGGTGAAGATGACGACGGGGATAAGAGGGTGAGCGGCAATGAAGCGTTCATAGAGGAAAAATATAAAAAGCCCTGCAAGGCCAAGGATCAGAGGGACGAGTGTGTGCCATGAGTCCCAGTCGTACATAACGCCGCCCCAGGTGAGAGGGATGAGGAAAGCAGCAAGCGATGCGACGAACATGATACAGCCCACATAGTCGACTTTGGCTAGACTTTCACGGACGGGAAGGGGAGCTCTGCCCAACTTCAAGAAGACCGGGATAAGAACCAGTCCCAACCCACAGAAGGGCAGGTTGATCCAGAAAATCCATCTCCAAGTCGCAGAAGACTCGGTGAAACCACCTCCGATTAGAGGACCAACGACTGTACCAAGAGCCCATGTTCCAGAGCGAATGCTGAACCACTTTCCGCGCTCTTTCAAAGGGATGAGGTCTGCGATCAACACCTCCGTCAATGCCATAATACCCCCACCACCAATACCCTGAATGCAGCGGCCGACGAGGAGGAGTCCAAATCCATGTGAGACGGCGGCAAGGATAGAGCCAAGGGTGAATGCTGCAACTGCGAGCCAGAGGATGGATTTGCGGCCGAAGATGTCCGAGGCGAGAGAGAAGATGGGTTGGAAGACGCAGGAGGCGACGAGGAAGGATGTCCCAGCCCAGAAGGCTTCTGTTGCGGTTCCCCCAAGATCATGCGAGATTGTCTATGTATGCATAAGTAAACCCTATAGTCGATCGGATCCAGATGTAGATACCGGAAGAGACACCGAGATAGAAGTAGCATCTAGCGCCGCAACAAAGTTGAGCAGACCAACCACCGCAAAGATACATTTTAGTTGCCAAGTAGGATGCCACACCTCTTGAGGAATATCCTCTGTCTTAATCGAGTCCGACATACTGCTGCAGATAAGCCGTTTGATCAAAGAAAAGTGAATGGCACGAAAAGAATAAAATCGCGATCCATTCGATCTATAAATCCATCCCCATCCATTCTATACACGTCTACATCAGCTGAACACACACCACAACAACACAGATGACTGCACATGTATAGTCCGGAGTGCCCGAACTGCTCTTCCCTGACTGCTGAGGCTCGCTAGATATCTCGCGCTGTGTTGTCTGAGATCAGCCATGTTCACACTAGTGTCGGCTTTTCTCTCCTTGGCTGGAGCCGAGGGTGGAACTAAGCATCGGAGCCTCAGGTAGCCTGCTGCCCGAACAAGGATGATTCTGCCGAGTGGTGTTCATCGCTCCGCCGGGCGATCGACGATGGGCGTTTCGAAGCACACCCCACGCCCACGGCAAATTGCTTCGCTTCCCGGCCCGTGAAACTAGAGTGATGCCCACTTATTTCTCGCGATACATACCTCTTATCCTACAATACAAGGCCTCACGAGCCCAGCAAGGCCTAGATAGCAAATCATGCTAAGCCAGGTGATTAGAAGCGAGCAAGGGCCCATCGGCGCCCAGCGCAGCGCTTCGGACCGAGTCGGTGGTTCCGACATCTTGATTGGCGGGTAAAAGAGTTAACTCGTCGCTTGTTCAGACTCATTTTAGTCTGGCGGGTATCTCAAGTGAGCCTGAAATGGAATTGGAATCGAGATTCTCAGACCGTCGGAGCCGCCGTGTTTCTTAGTTTCCTTTATTCCCCTCCTACTGTGACAACTCATCGTGGTCTGAGCCCGGTGCAAGCCATAAAGCCACCAGCAGCCCTTACGGCATCGCCGGTGCTTCTCTTTTTGCGTCGATAAGCCACGGAGTGGAAGGCTTGCGGGCTTGGCTGAACATGGGCGGATCTGGATCGCGAACCGCTTGCGTGGCTCTTGGTCTAGACTAGACGCCTTAGAACTAACCCATGAAGCTGAATGACAACTCTAATTTCAGTCTTGTCTACAACAGGCTGTTGTTTTCTTGAAGGCTACGAACATGGAGACGCACTTTCATCGATTTTAGTCAATTCATTCTCGACCCAGTCCTGATGGCCCGAATGAAGACCGGGTACTTGATCGAGTCCTATTATCGGACACAGAAGGGATAGTCTCCCATTGGAAAAGCCCAGTGGGCTGAAATATCACACAAAGACCCCAAGCGGTAGCATAAAACACTTGCAGAAAAGAAAAGCCAGCCATCACAGCAATGGAAATCTCGAAGGATTACGCAAAAAAAGCAGAAAAAAAAAGGACTGCAGAAAAGCACAATCAGATCGTATTCTCGTTGGAATACTATTTCCCATCCCTCCTGAACGCCGTCCGATAGATGAAGCCGGGTATATCCAGCACCGTGATGCAACATGTACGAGAAATGAAAAGTGAAAAGCAAAGGCGGGATTTTATAACGTGGGTGTTAAGAGGCGTTGGGCGTTTCAGGCAAGTTCATCAGGTACCACAGCAAGACCCGACAGACCATACCTGGGTATTGGCTGTCGGCAGTTGCGATCTCCGAGTAGTCTCCGTGGAGAATGTAAAGCCTTGAAACGCACGCCAGATCACTCCACAGATCCATTCCATCACCCACTCTGAGCGGAGCTCTTTTTTTTTTTTTTTTTTCTTCCCTTCTTCTAGGCATTCTCACTCAACCAAGTGGAGCAAGGCCGGAAGACTGGGACCACAGTAAACAGTGGTGTCGGCAGCCTTTGTGATTTCGGACCCTGAAGAAATGAACATGGAAGATGCATCAGAAAGGTCCAGCCAGTGGGATGCTATCCCCACCGCAAAACAAGCAGCGACTCAATAGCCGCGTGAGAGAAAAACAAAGACAGAGAACTGCTTTGAAGGCGTCTCATCGGGCGCCGATTCCGAACATGCCCACTCCATAGCTGCCACCTCGTTCCGACATGGGGGTGGAGACTTTTGAGACATGGTCCTGTTGATTTGCGAATTAGATGACGGTCCTGACTTTGAAGGTAGGCCATATCTCATACCTTCTTTCGTTTCTTTTTCCCAGTTCCCTCGCCGTTCGAGTAGAATCCGGGGTCATCATCATCATCGGCAAAGCCTTCGCCATAACCAACAAAGCTGTTGTCATCATAATGGCGCTTACGGCCACGAGTGGGCCGTGCGCGATCTTCTTGTGTCGCCATTGGGGTTGAGTTCGCCTGCATGGAAGATCGACCTCCTGAAATAGGAGCTGGTTTTCTGCTGGTCTCTCCGGAGCCTGGGTTCTTGGCAGGTTTCTCATGACCAAGCACGTCCTCCCAAAAGTCGTTGTTTGGAACCACACCCGGTTCCAATTGCATGGCACGACTCTGCATGCCCTGCAAAGCAGAATCGATATCTGCGACCTTGATTTGCTTCCCGAAGACCTTCTGGTTTTGCCATTCCTCCTCGGGCCACATAGTAAGATGCCGCAGACTGCCAGGTGCTCCCGGCTCCTGCTTCATGGGCTTATTCCGTCCCGCCAGGCCCAAGCCCTTCAGCTTTCCTTCGTAGGACTTTCTCAACCGATTGATCTTCTCTCCCGTGACCGGGTCAATTCGTGCTACCGACTGTGCAGCCGAGCCTAGCCCATAGAGGGAAATGAGATCCAGCGACGGATCCGGTCCGGTCGCAATGGGCGCTGTAAAGCACAAAGAGCACGTGTTAATAAAACTTTGGTTCCCAGGGTAGATAATCATACAGCTGCTACCGCGGCAACCGTGGACAAACTCGGGGAACTCTTACAGCTTTTGCAAATATGGAAAGCCGAAGTAAAATCCTTCTGAAGAGAATCTAAACCGAGATTCTGATTCTTGAGGTCAGGAACTAGTTCTGTATCCAAATCCATGGCGTCTCCGTCCGTCGTCTGCTGGCCCTGCCCGGTGGCAAAATCGCGTATTTCAGCCTCTGCCCCGGTCTCTAAAGGCTGCCGGTCGTGGTCGCTTCGTCTGTGATCTGCAGATTGTTGATTGGATAGCCCCTCGGTGTTCCTTGTTGGCTCCTGCATTCCTGGACTGAAAGATTTGTGATCTGCGTCCTCCGTCGACGCAGCGTTCACACTACTGGCGGGAGTAGGAAACGAATTCGTCATGCTCAAAGTCGGTTGCTGAGAGACCTGTGTTGACATCGGCGTAGATGAGGGAGGTGAGGATGTGTTGGGTTGTTGGGTTGTCGCCTGGTTCGGTGAAGTATGGGAGGATGTGATGTTTGAGACATGACTCTGGTCGCTGACCGACATCAACGGAGGCGATGTCGGAGTCTGAGGGATGTGATCCGAGGAAACGAAAAGCTGTCGGTTCTCTTTGAGAAGTCCGGCAGCAGGAGATGAGGGTGAAGGAGGACCTGCTGGAAAAGCTGAAAGAGTGCGATCAGACATGAGAACCCTGCGGAGGACGTAGTTCCAGACGGTTTTCAAGTTTTTCTAACCAAAAAACTTGCTTTCACGAATGAGAGTCCGAATCGCAAAGTTTGACACGAGCACTGGCCGTTGGAGAGGGGGATCCCAGTCGACAGTCGACGGTCGCTCAGACGGGCGAGCAGGTCGTTCCACGGCCAGCCTAGATCATATGCATTCCAGGGTGCCGAATAAATCCTCGCGGGTGTTCGGGATTGGCGTGGCTGATGGGATGGGCGAAGGAGGGGGGTGGATGGTCAAGATGCTGTCGAAGACGGCGCTGAGATGGAGGGAAAACGGGCCGGGCACGTGACGCGGGACTCAGTCTCAGCTCGGCGCATGAAAGAAGTTGCGGGTAAATGTCGAGGCGGTCCAGGCCTTTTCATTCATCGTTTAGGAATATTTCAATATTTCAAATTCTCGTCACTTGTTTGTCTCAATGGCTTTGAAGATAATCATTCGGCGACCTCAGGGGTTCAATCATTGGCTACAGTAACCAATTACGCCGATCTCGTACACTACATACTGTTTTATACCTCTAATGGTCATTCCTAAAGACGAAAGCAAGTTTCCTTCCAAGGTTATGATAAAGCTGGGGGGTTCACCCCTATGATTTGAACTCTTAAATAAAATATAGGTCGGTACAAGTAGACAGCCTGAATAAAACGTTTTCTCTCGATCGACATGCGCTAATAACTTGTGTGGTTGAAGCCCATCGGGCATCGGTCTCATATAAGGAAACAAGCCCCTTTCATGTCACTCATGACTGGTAGAAGGCATGAGACTCGCGCACCAGCTGAGCAGAAACGTCCGGAATGTTTTGTTCCAACGATGCCATCAATTCAATCTGCTCCTGTTGGCTGAGCGTGCGCTCACGCCAAGACTCGGATGGGAAGGGTGTGGCGAAGTACTGAGAGTACTGGTCTGAGATGGATGTCGTCCATTGCATTGGGTCGACCGCGGCGTCGATATAAGCCAGATGACCAGCTGTGGTGGAGGCAAGAGAGAAGTGAGGGTCCCATCCTTGAACACCAGCAATTCCTGAGGGCATTGCGTTGTAGGGAGTAGTGGGGTCGATGAGGATGTCAGAGAAAAGGTGGTTGGGTATCCCAAAGTCTTGAGAGGTGAACTGAGATCCAATTTCTGGCGCCGCAGGTGGTGGTTGAAGGTCATATGTTGGGGCTGCAGGGGCAACTGGTGTCGGCTTGACTGGGTCTGGTGCATAGACCGGAGGTGTGGGTTCTTGAACCACTTGCGGGAACGGAACGGTAGGGTCCGCGGAATGGCCCCGTGAGAGAGTACCGACTGAAGGGCTTTCGTCAGTCGAAGGCATACCATTGAATCGATAGCCTTGTGAGTAGTACGAGGCAGTCGTGGTGCTGGAAGGGCTGGACATTGGTGGGGGAGTCATGACATCTTGAGAAGAAGTCGGAGTCGGGTGATTGGATGGCGAATGTACGACGAATGATTCTTCGGTTTGATATGCCTTTAGACACGCCACGACAAGACGCTTGTAAAGGAGCAATGCAGATTGGACACCAGGCCATCGTTCAGCCGCGTAGACTATCACCTCGAGAGCCGTATCCAAGTAACCCTGGACCTCCTCAATAGGATGCTCTTTGCGGATTTCAGGATAAGATAGGGTCCAGAGAACAGTGTTTAGAACCATGAAGAGGGACTGGGTGAAGATCCATGTTAAATCGACAGAGCCTGTGATTGTTTGCTCTTTGTGCATGTCGATGTTAAAAACAGCCGCGTCGTAGCAGGTCTTTGCCGCATTGATAGACGGCTCGGGTATCTGAGGTGATGGTCGATATATGAGACATACAATAGTATTTCGTCTACCTTCGAACCTGTAGAGAAAAAGAGTCCGTCAGAAGTCATCACAGATGGGGGGCTACCCATACATACCATTTCACATTCAGGCCACTGCCATCATCATTCCTAGGGCAGGAGTCCATCCAGTGGTCCATCTTTGCCAGCATTTGGGTGAACCACGGATCCTGATCATCGACGGGGGTTTCACGTCGATTCAAATAGAGCACTCGTCGACACTCCAATTGCAACAGGCGCATTTTGAGAAAGTGAACAGAGATGCATTTGGAGAGGACGGGTTTTGCTCCTGGGGTGATGCCTTCGGCGGTGATATAGCGATCATCAACCAGTTCGAAAAATTTGACGTCGACATTGTCGTGCGCGATGCTGTAGCAACTGGGACGACCCAGGCTATGGGAAAGTCCAAACTCCATGGATATCACGATCCAGAACATTCTCCGACGCATGTCAATCTCCAGTGGGTTCAGAGGTTGGCCACACGGAGACTTGGTGATGGTGGCCTCTTCTGTTAACCCCAGGTCTTGGCAAAGTTTGACAGCGGTCCCCACGACCCAGTAGGCAGCCGTTCGAGTAGGAGTCAACATGGAATATTGCGCGATTAGGACTAGACACTGTAGTGCCCTCAAATCCATTTGCTTTAGAACCGGCTCTAGGTATGGCAAGGCGGCCAGGTAGTAGCTATCCGCTAAGCCAGCGTAGTCCGGGCTGGTCTTCTGCATGCTGACGGCAAGAACCATACGTATTTGGAAGTTATAGCAGGGATCTGTAGAACCGTTGAGCACTTCCTCGACTTCCATTCGGAAGCTTGGTTCGTGTAATGTTGGAAGAAGTCTCTGTGCTGCAGGTGGAGAAGAAAGGTCAGTCACCACCGCCAGAAGTGTTCAACGAAGACTTGTACCTTTTAATATATAAAGATCGATCAGCCTGTAAATCACGCTTCTATCCTGAGGGAGCTCGTCCGCGGCAAGCGAGCTGATCATAGGATACACCTTGGATGTCGGTTTCGAGTCCTCCTGCGCAAAGGCTGCCTTGATTTCCTGGGCCGTCAACTCGGGAACGACGTCCTTGATACTCTTCGACTCGGTGTTCTGCTTGGCGATCTCCATGACCAGACGGGTCATGGCAATACCGCTCGAAGGTCCCAGGTATCGAGGCTCGTCATGCTGGTTGAAGCGGATGCGTCCAGCGCCCCGCACCATCAACTCCGCGTCGGCGGCATGCTGGATATCCTTCTCGGCCCGTGCGAGTTCTTTCTCGAGGGCGCGGGCCTTTTCCCGCAGCGATACAATATACGTCCTTGGGATGGTGGTGTCACGGGTGGAGTCGTAATAGACGCACTTGGCATTGCTTCGTTCGCAGGGCGCACATCGAGGGATTCCGGGGTCGCATCTGGATTTGCGCTACGAAGGCCAAGTCAGTCAGTGGAGTCCCGAACAAGCCGCAGTCCCGAGCCGCAATTAGGTTCGGGAGACTTGCAAAATGGAAACTGGAATCCGGGGATATAGGATATTGCATCATACCTGTCGGCATCTCGTACAGGCTGTGAGGGTGTGCGCGATACGACCGTCAGGCGGCTCCAGTGAGCCCTCTGGTGATGGCAGCCCCACGCCGGGTTGGGCACTTTGACTCATGGTTGATAGTGAGAGGAAAGAACAGATCACATGCGTGTTACACCGACCAGGACACGATCAAGTCCACCAAGGCCCTCTCAATATCGACATGATCTTTTCGTGAACTCTGAGGGAGGGGCAAAGACCCAAAGGTTGGGAAATAAGGTGCAAGGGGGAAATCCGGAGCAGGGTCCTATCACAAAAGACGGGTATTCAAGTGACCGCGTCCAGGACAGGAAATGGAAAATCGGAAGTGGGCGTGAGGGGCCCAGCCTCGGTCCCGATCTGGATCGACGGGGAAAGAGTTTGGGTGCGACGGAGCGACGGCAGGTCTCCGCTGGCAGTGGAGACGTAGGCGTACAAGGAGGATCCTTATTTGTAGGGTGTCGAGAACCCACGGTCGATAGCAGCTGAAGGCGACTTCACGGCCTAAGAAGAGTAGGAGACCATCGGCTCCGAAAGGGGGAACGGGCTAGCACCAAGATCGTCTGTGCGGCTCCACGAGTCAAGTCCGAGTCGAGTCAGAGTCAGATTTCCAATTTCCAATTTCAGATTCCAAAAGTCCAACGTTCGGAGCGTGGAGGACAAAAGTTCTTTTCCCTCTCTTTTTTTCCCCTAGGTGGGGTTTGACTCTCTCTCTCGCTCCAACGTCTTTTTCTTAACCGGGTTAGGTGGATTTGTCCGCGGCGCAAAAGGTCCAACGGCGACTGCAGGTGTGGCTTTCTAACGGTTCCTACGAAATAGCCTAATAGTTTGCCGTGTTGATCTCATGTGAGTAAAAAAGAATGTGGTGACGCGACCCGGTGGGGTTTTGGCAAGGGTGGGAAAAAGACCCCCATTTTATCCAGACACTGACTTGGTGGCTTCCCCCCCCCCCCCTCTCAGAAAATAGGAGCTGGATCATGAAGAGCTGTTAGCATGCCTTCCACGGCCACCACCTTTTTGGACTCTCCGCTGCTCAAGGTGAGCCGTCCCGTCGCCGCCTGCTCGCGATGTCGTACCGCGAAGATCAAGTGCGACGGTAAGCTCCCCGCTTGTTCCGCCTGCGAGAAGGTCGGAAAGGCCAGTACCTGCTCCGGGGCTAGCGATGAGTTCGCCAAAGGAAAAGAACGCAGCTATGTAGCATCCCTCGAGGGCTACTGTGAGAAGCTCGAAAAGAAGATCTCTCAACTCCGAGTTCGTCAAACCTCCCTCTCCGCCGAAGGGAATGGCGTCGCGCGCGAGATGTCTATCACGTCCACCGGTTCGGAGGGCCCCTTGAGCACCGCACATCGTCGAGAAGTGTCCGATATCGATGACCTCGTGGGAGATTTTGGTTTCCTATCAGTCAACGCCACGTCGCGAGACTTTCACGGTATCACGTCCAAGACTACTTTTGCCAATCTCCTCTTATCAGTCGCGACGGTGGGATATCCCCCCCAGCGCACACCCAAAGCGCTGCCTGCCCGGCACGAAGCAACCCCGTTACTGCAGATCTACTTTGACAACGTTTTTGTCCAACTACCCTTCTTTGTGGAAACGAGCTTTTGGACCTCGGTAGATGCCGTTTATCAGTCAGGGGGACGTTTTGCCAAACCCTTTGACCATTGGATGTTGCGTATGGTGCTTGCCATCGCCTCCGCCTCAGTCTCATCTCAGAACAATGATAAGGCTCACAAACGGGCTTGGGCTTTGGTTTCAGAAGCTCTGGCATTTGCCGAAGATGTCCTACGCCCGGGGTCTATCACGTGCATCCAGGCGATCTTGCTGCTTGCACAATATGCCCTGATAGACCCGGGCCGCTTTCGCAGTTGGCATCTCGTCGGAATGGCTGTCAGAGTCGCGGTGGATCTCGGTCTGCACCAGGACCCTCCTGCAGAGGTTCTATCCAATATGGATCGCCTCGACCTTCGCCGGCGTGTGTTCCACTGCCTCTACTCCTTAGATAGGTATGTTCACTATTTGCTCCGATTAAATTTAGATCACTTGCTAACAACACCCCAGAGGAATGAGCACTGCCTTACAGAGAACCTTCTCCTTTTCTGATGCTTCCGTCAACGTTGCTATGCCATCGGCCGGCACGGGGGTCTCGCCTGGTGAACACAATCACATCTTCCTACGAAGCCCAGCCCCCGCCCTTCACATCGTTAAGATACGACAAATCCTTTCCAGTGGATACCAAGATATGTACTACAGTAGCCGTGAGGTATCAACGCAATCACTGGTCTCAATATGGACACTCTGCTCACAAAGTCAACAATGGTACAACGAATGTCCCAAGAGCACCCCCAACCACTTCTCCCTTCTCTACCGCCTTGAGCTCATTTATACCATTATCATCCTCCTCTCTCCCTCCCACAGATACCCCATCCTCGACGACTACAACAAAGCGCTCCTGTTCGACCGGTGCATGGACTACATCAGCCAGATTCACCAAGTGCTGGCGAATCCAAGTCTTCTCCCATTCCTTACCTTTTTCGACATCCAGCGCGTGCATCAAGTCGGCCATAAATTTGTCGAGATTCTCTCCGACAACTTCGACATGCTCCTAAGCCCCACGGTCCCTTCTCCCCCTCCTGTCCCAGCCGGCACCCCGGATCCCCCCAAACTGCACGAAGAAGACCGCCTCAACACCCGGCCTCGTGCAATCCGCTGCATTGACTACATTCGAGATCTGTTGAAAGTCTGCGCGAGGAAATGGGATCTAAGGGCTCCGCTCGAGGAGTTTGAGAGACTATCGGCGCCATTGGGGAAGATGTTGGTGGACAGCTCGATGAGCTATGTAACAACCCAAGGGGCATATACGCAGGCCCCCTTATCCGGATTGCCGCTGGCCGGTAATGGGTACCCCGGTTATCACCTGGGTTAAATTTGTATTCGATGGCTCAATTAGTATTGTTTATTTTTTATTTTTTGAGTATTTGGTATTTGTTTCTACTCCCCTTCATGTAACATTGGCATCTTGGAGAATAGCACTCGATGTACTCTAGGAGGCATACACGACACACTCAACTTGTATCACCACTCCTACATGTCTTACATCATTAATCAATGTACGTACTGTGGATGAAGCTTGCTTTTTGATTTTGTGGTGTCTTTTTGAATCGTAGATGGTCACGAGGCCATGCCCTTGGGATTTGGACCCTCCGCACTTTGTTCGCTCTTGAAGTATGAGTGAAGATCGCATTGGGGCTGAAAGTAACCGGGCTGATCAAAACAACGAGACTAATCAAGAACCATATTTGCAAGACTTGACATTCGGGGCTTGAGCAATCTTGAAATTCAGGGAACATTGCAAGATTGAACGCCTCGGGATATACATAGCGAGTAGAAATGAACATAAACGATGAATATGACATCGAAAGTCCCTTTGACTCCTAAGAGCTTCATGGTCAGTAATTCATTTCGTCTCATGGTTTGTAACTGACGTCAACCGCGAGATCGATCGCTACAGCATGACCGTTCCAAAATTGAAACATCCGCTTGATGCAACGCCATATGCATATGGGCATTTCAGAGATCTTGGAAGAATTTACAGATACCTCTCGGTGCACGTAATGCTTGTAACAGTAGAATTCGAAAACAGATTACCCCTTGGACACACGCTTTGTTTCTCGGCCCGTGCCCGTAACGACTATGAGGTTACTATGAAAACAACACCTACATAAAGCTGCAGTCTCTCAAACAGTAGGCGACTGCAGGGGTCGTAACAACTGCCCCCTGTGATTACCCACCAGCTATTGTTCCCCGCCCACAACGGCGAACATCTCCTTTCGCTGCTGAGTAGTAGCATCGCCAGCAATACCATCAGGAGTGGCTTTTTGAAGATATAATTCGAGAATTCTGGTTGAGATCGTATTAGCTTAGGCACTCCAAGTTTCCATTCAAGGTTCAAACCGTACATCAATGATAGCCGCAGTCTCTTTGAGGGCTGATTTAAAACTTTGGCTCCATTTTCCCATCCAATTCTCCTTCACCTTGGCGTGAATAGTACAGGCAAAAGAATTGACCAAATCTGTTAACTAAACCCGTTCATTCATTTTAGCGATCTGCCGACAGAGCCCTTTGCAATGGCTATACGTACCGTAGCATAATCGACCTCAGCCTTGGCTGCTTCTTCGGGTGAGTTGACAAGGTCCACCTCAGGCTGAAAAGCCAACATGTCCATTGCCAGCGAATTATCCGACAGCAAATTATTCGCCCCCCCCCCCCCGTTTGCACTGCTATGGTACCATCGTATCTTAGTTTGCTTTTGCCAAGTACGTTGTCAAGCAATGATTGATGAACAGTGGTGAACTAAACTCCGTAACTCGTCAGCGATAATTAGCTATCTCAAAAGCGACCCTAATATAGTTGGAAGAGAGACTCACCTGTGTCAAAGCAGCTGCGGCAATAGAACCCTCATCCAAGATACCATCGGGGTTCATTCGAGGGTCCCGAGCCATCATCGGCGTGGAAGACCCGGCGAGAAGATTGAACCCTTTGAGCGCCACAATCAAATCCTGATTCGTGACATCCAGCTTTCAAGCGTCGAGGTATCTTGAGAATTATTGTCTCTTACCTGTGCCCATTTATCTGTTTGCCTCTCGGACAAAGCTCCTGACATTTTGTTGATGTACTTTGCCTGCTGTATAAGGAGAGGGAGTCCCTTGCAAAATCTTGCTGGCGCCGACATTCTCAATTTGGGCTTTACCGTTATTGCTAGTCTGGTTTTCTGTGTAGGGGTTTTCGAAAGCTCAGTCTGGTAAACTCCAAAAATGTAAAAGGCAAAAATAAATATCGGATTGAGGGTTTTCTTTATAGATGGGAATCAAGCCAACAGATCCTGTTGAGAGGAGGATAGTAGCGGGGAGCGAGTGCACACATGGACAGTGAATGTTCATGCATGAATTCGTCACTCTGAAGAAGTATGCATTAGAGGGCCGTAACAGACCTACATATCATGACCGTACATTTGATCTCGAAAGGACAAAACTCTTAATAAAAATTAGGTGAGTGCTAGTGTTGAGAAGCCGCCAATTTAATTTCACGAGATCAGTTTCATATTCTCTGTCGCATGGGTAGAGAGCTACTTGCAGGAAATGAATATATCGCGCCAACAGCGAATAAACTTACTTCAGGTAGCACTTACTCGAGCCACACACGATCATTGTGCAACCCAGTTAATACCGACGCCCGCCAATACCGATGCCAATCAAGCTGAGCCATCAAACTCTGGTAAATTAAAGTGGATCCTATCACCATACGAATGTGCAGCTCTATGACGACATTCATTCCGATTTGATTCCTTTCTATTCAAGGTGCGTCGGTTTTTACACTGTGGAATGGTGCGTACAAAACAAATCTCAACTTGAGATGTTCAACTTCAGAGATCTTCTCCCATTACTAGACGACGAAGTCCAAACACATTTTCTAAGCCTCTCAACCAGTGTCCCTCATTTAATACGGCCGGCTCAATAATTGATCCACGCTAACGCCTAGGCAGGTGTTGTTTTCATAGTAGCCTTATATGGCCTAGTGTCATCTCGGGTATGGGCCTCAGTAAAATTCGAAAACAGTTTATTATACCCCCTAGACACTCAAGCTTTGCTTCTTGGCCCGTACCCAAAATGATGCTAATCCGTATTAATATCTAGCGTGAACAATCCCTTTAAGACTAAAAGTACAGTCGATTCTCATAACCTAATTTTCACTACCTGTTCCATGAGTTTGAACACCCTAGTCCCACACCCCCCTCATTATATAAAATACAGTCGAGGTTTAAACACTCATGCCATTAGAATAATACTGGGCGTCTCATCCCTGGCTATCAATAATTGCTTACACCCGATGCAGTATCTTCTCAGAGAAGTCTATTCCAAATATTGCATCGAAAGTCACGGATATGAACTCGACCTATTGAGAAAGTAAAAGCATCATATTGGAAACAATTTCTGGAGGAAGCGGGGAGGAGAAATATACATAGAATTAAATCGAGCGGTAAAGATCGGTATAAATCCAAAGAATGACGTGGGCGATGAAAAATGTGGGGCAATGTATGCATCGCTCCGACATATGTAAGACGGGATATGTGATACACCGGAGCCGCGAATGTATGCGCTTATGCTAGTAATTGGACAGCTGCACGGTATTCACGTACGAATGAATGATCTCGCTTGCCTCATATGATCCCCACCGTTCAGCTAGCCATAAAAGTCACTATTTGGTATGTCTCCGGTCTCCGCCAGAGACTACCCCTAGTCTTTATCAGACCCCAGCGTTATTTTTGAACTGCCTACAATTGTGACATCATTAAACTTCGGAAGTGACGTAATGGGGGCTTGGTCAGAATTAACTGTCCTGAACGGATTAGAACCGAGAGGTTCCTAGTCTTGCTTGTTGCGCGTACGATAGTGGTAACATATTTTACTGCCCAGCTACGCACACTACCGGGTTGGTAGAAGCTCTAACAGTGCTAAAACATACTACCAAGCTGTGAGTAATAGAAAACTTTTAGAAGCCATAGTAGAGGACACGGTCTCCTGGACAACAGTGCGAGGAAAATAGGAAGCCGGATAGACCAGCTTAGCGTAGCGCTTTTAAGTTCAGCACACCGCGGTTCCTAGTGGTTCTACACCGTAGATGTGGCGTTGCTGAAGGTGGAGCCATTAATCCCAATCAGATCCAAACAATATCCACGATCGTCTTAAGTTAATACTTGAAGATTAGCATATTGAATCCGCCGCCAGGTATTTATAGTCCTTCGTGTCTCTTCCATAACCTCTAATGCACCGACTATTACGCTGAGTCTCATTCACTCTATCAATAAATCCATTCATCCATCTTTGTCACCGTCTTACCTTGCAATCATGCCTAATGTCAGTCAATTTCAAACTTAGATGCATCCAGTACTTTGAGTTGAACCGATTTTTTTGGCTAACATGACATTGGTTTCATTAGAAACGTATTATGTTGCAGCTCCAACCAGAAGAATCAAAAGCTGCGAGAGAAATACCCGAGTAAGTACTATAGAGGGGTTTCAAAAATATCAATACTGACAATTTCTCAGAACAGTTGAAAATTCAGGTGGAAAACTTTTGCCTGCCCCTCGGATCTTTCCTCCAGTGATACACTTCACGTAAGTATGGCCCCTGGTTTTGCCTACTATATCGCTATTATAATATTGATGGCTTAACTGACATTCTCTCATAATATAGGGTATCTGAGGTAGTTGCTGAGGAAATTAAACAAAAGTACGAAAGTGATATTTTGCGAATTATGACTGATGAGGATGAAGAGGATTGATGAATTAGAGGAAGGAAAGAAAGTGTGAAATGTGACGACGAACACAATGAGATACTGCCATATTGCACAACTTTGAGTGTGAGATCGGAACGGAGTAACGGTTCTAATTTCTATCAATCCTGTGCCTATGTAATATGGTGCCGTACGTGCCATATGCGAACTATAGTATTCCCGTATCTTGTAGGCCTAAGCAATAGTCTCCCGGAGACCCTATGAGTTGACGTTTGAATCACGTGACCGGACAGCATCAATAGTGTCGACAATCCGTGAATCGATAAAGCCTCGTACTTAACAACAGATTAGCATTAAAAAGCTATCTGAATGCGAGCCTACCGTAATACTTCACATAGATCCAAAGACAGCATAGTCACGACAAGTCAGTTCAGTAGATGCTAGTCCGTTATTAGAAGGCTAAGCTTGTTATAAGAAGCAAAGAGACATTACCCACTAAAAGTGTCTCTATTCAGCTCACTTGTTCGTAGTGGTCACTCGAGGGCAAGTTGTTGGCAGAATGGGGTATTCGAAGTCCTGCTACGTCTCTAAACGAGTAGGTATCTGTGTGTTTGGCTTATTTGTATGATCAACGTTCTAAAAACCCTGGAGACTGTATGAGTCTGATACAGAAGCTATTTTCAAGCTTTACAACCGTACTGAAATACTGCCAAGAAATGGGTTCAGGGCCAGAGTAAACATAATAGGTATAGCGTGTTTCGAATGAGGGTTCGAGAAAGAATCTGTGAGGAAATGGTGAAACTGATTTCGATCCATGCTGTATATTGCAACATTTACCGCCTATCGGGACTCAAAGACTCAACCACCTAACACTTCTATTTTTAATTCCGCATAGCGAAAATAGCCTTTGGCACTCTCTTCTTTTGCACCCACCACATTGATACACCATTCGGGGAATGTATCAAAGCCTTAACCGGGGTCTCTCTCATAACGACTCCAATTACGCTTGATAAAACTTTTAAGCTCAGTAAAAAACTCTTCAATTGGGTTAAGGTCAGGCGAATAGGGCGGCAGATAACCCAATTTCACCCCAGCATCCGCGTATATTTATGCGAGACGCTCTGAGTGATAAAATGATACGTTATCTATCATAAGAATTAATTTACGTTCTAGCTATCTTCCGCAATACTAGAGTAGCTAAGCTATAAAATCCTTAAATACGATAGTATCTATTAAGCCGCTGAATACTCGCGAGAGGACGATCTCATCTTAGGAATATATAGGTAGTATCTAATATCGCTAATCGCGGTGGAACTGAGTGACTTACAGAGGAGCTCTGCCAAGAGATACCTAACTAGTTCGCCTAAATCCGACCTATTTATCGTAACTAAATTTATTAACTTATATCCTATAATACGACTGAAACTCTAATAGGATATATAGGTAGTAGTCTCTCAAATCCGCGTTCTGCTCTTTAACGCGTTACTACGCTGCCTTTTTCGACCAACCTATTACTATAAGGGCTCTTCTAATACTAGAGGTTATAATTATAGTTCGAAACTTATCCTATAGGAAGATAGCTATCTTCTTAAGATAGAGACCTAGCTTTACAGAAAGGTATTTGCAGAGAGCTTTTATTATTAGCGGTATCATAGTTCGCTTTTGGCCAGTTTAAGTTTAGGGAGTATAAATAGTTCCAAAAGTGGCGTAGGTTTCTTTGAATATTGATAACCGTAAGCGTAGTATATTTAGCTTCTTTGGCTATCTGAGACGTAGTAAAAGACTGGTACTCTATTGTATCACGGATTAGATAAAGTTTCGAAGTAGGAACTCTAGGAGCTATGTCGCTTGAAGTGATCTCGGATACTGAGATTTCGAAGATAGATAGGTAGTGAGTGGGAGAGGAAATATGGCTTATATTATGGAATAGGGAGGGGTGCACCCAGGTAGCGTGTATATAGCACCTTCGTGTAAAACACATCCTCTGTTATCGAACCACGGAATTATGAAAAATACCTACTCATTTAGAAAGCGGACTGAAAAGCGGAGCCTACAAGGTCTAATCTATCAGGACTCACGGCCGCCCGGTTTTTTTTCCGGGAACCAAGTCGCAAGAGTGAGATGGTATAACTGATTCCGAATACTACTGTATCTAAATAGTAGATTAGAAAGGAGCAAAAAAATATCGAGAAAGACCTTCATCGAATTGTCTTGAACGAGGCCGAGAAATACTAAGAGAACAAAACCTATATGCTGTCTTACAGTATTTCTTCAATTAATATAAGCTAGAAGGGTTTCTGAATTCTGCCTAGTCAAAAACGGGTTTTATTTAAAAGCACAGCCAACATTTGAATTCGTTTTTTCTCCGAA